ACATGAAATGGTTATGAGTACCCTGCCCCACACTGTGTCGCGATAGTTTTGTTATAAAGTTTTGGTCAAAAACATATTAAATCAATTCATTTTTATCCATTCATAGTGGAGAGGTACATGCAGGGAGTTGTAAGGCAAAATAGTTCCCAAAGAAAACTTAGTTTTTCTGGTTTAACTCTATTTTACCATCATCAACATTACATATAAAAAAATATCAGAAGATGTGTAGGTTCACTGGTGGTTTTGGATAGTAAACAAAATGATATATTTGTGTTGTCAACATCGTGACCCCTGGTTTCTATCACCACCACTGTAAAGAAATCTGAGTCAATAGGTTTCTCTACAATTAATTATTTCACACCAAACCACTCTTGATGACTGTTTACATCTAAACCACTGTATTGTGCAGAAATTTTGAAAAATTAGTACATGAATCAGAAAAGAGCAACATTTGAGCATGAGTGAAGAAGACACAGCAGCGTCTCTGCTTCTACAGAAATATCATGGAGAGCATTCTGACCGCCTGCCCAGTCCATCACTGGGTCAAGCTTCCCTACCATTCAGTACTATCTACATTGAATGGTGTAAAAGAAGAACAGCATGCAAGGAAAGCAGGAACTATCACTCTTATAACCACGCCCATCTGGAAGGAGGCTATGGCTATGGGCCATTTCCTCTGTTAGAAAAACCAGCATAGATCAGCATGGCTAGTCACTACCAAAACCAGCATATGTTTGTGCTTTGGATTCTGGTATGCTGGTCAGCAGCAATGAAAGTTAGTATGCTGAGCATCAGCAAAACCAGCATATGTTGTGTTTTTGATGCTGGTATGCTAGTCAACCAGCATGACTATGCTGGGTGACCAGCTAAATCTATTGTTATTTGTGTTGTTTTTTCCAACAGGGTATTTTTGCTGCAGGAAGCCAGAGTGCTGAGCAGATCTGCCTGATGGACCTTGCATTTTTATATATTAGAAATATATTTCAAATACTTTGAAATTAATGCCAAAATTTCAGAATATATTGCCATATCAACCACATACATTTTAACACATTGCTGTTGTCAGAAGAAAACCTTGTATCTCCATTTTTTACATTTTTCAGTCTTGGACATAATATGAAAATACCTGATACCCTTACATTGTATGTAAATTTCATGATGAATGGACTAAAAGAAATAACCCAAAATGACTTGTAAAAAACTCCATTCCATTGACTTACATTAAAAGTACAGTAGGTTTTTTCCTTCTCCTGTAAAGTTACCATTTTGGAGATACAAGGTTTCCTTTCAACAACAGCGATATGTTTATTTTAAAATGTATGGGGAAACATTAACATAGAAATGTACCATACAAAGATAAATGTATGTAAATTTATTTTCATATACATTTGAAAATGTATAAAAGCAGCCGTACTACCTGTCTAATGCACTTTACTGTTTGGAATAGCTTTTGGAATTGAATTTGTATTCCAGTATCTAAATTCTAAGTATTAGTAAACGAAACTTTTTTTTTCTCTACCATCATGTGCTAATATGACTGTATAGATATTGTATGGCTATATACGTGGTGGTGGTGTGTTAGTGTGTGTTGGTCTGAGTAGATTAGACTGCTGGATTTTTTAAACACCTCAGTGTCACTGCTGGACTGAGAATAGTCCACCAACCAAAAATATCCAGCCAACAGCATCCTGTGACCACTGACGAAGGACTAGAGGATGACCAACACACACTGTGCAGCAGCAGATGAGCTATCTGACAAGGTAGGAGTGTCTAATAGAGTGGACAATGAGTGGACACAGTGTTCAAAAACTCCAGCAGCACTGCTGTGTCTGATCCACTCTAACCAGCACAACACACACTAACACACCACCACCATGTCAGTGTTACTGCAGCGCTGAGAATGATTTACCACCCAAATAGTACCTGCTCTGTTAGGGTCCATGGGGGTCCTGACCACTGAAGAACAGGGTAAAAGGGGGCTAACAAAGTATGCAGAGAAACAGATGGACTACAGTCTGTAATTGTAGAACTACAAAGTGCACCTATATAGTAAGTGGAGCTGATAAAATGGACAATGAGCATAGAAACAAGGAGGTGGTCATAATGTTATGCCTGATCAGTGTAGATATTGTGTATTGTACAGAAGAGTCTATTGTGTGGTGTTTGCAAATTTTGTCTGTATATACTGTATTTACTGTCTGGCTGCACTGTTGTCCGCTGCTGTTTCATGCTTAAATGAAGCACTATGTCCTTGAGAAACTACATTTAGTTCCTCTCAACACATCTGTGATTAAAAAAACTTTCATTTTAATGAGTGTTTGCAGGGATGAAGGACATGTCTATGGAGTTAAATCAGTCACCAGAACCTGAACCTGAATTTGTGATTCTGAACCTGAATTTGTGATGCTAAACCTGAATTTGTGATGCTCAACCTGAATTTGTGAAGGTGAACCTGAATTTGTGACGCTGAACCTGAATTCCTGATGCTTTTTCAGGTTGAAAAATTCAAGTTGTAAAATTCAGGTTGTAAAATTCAGGTCAAGAAATTTATGGAAACATCTGGGGTACTCAAGAAGGGCAAACAAAGCATAGATGTAATTGAACTCACACCTGGCCAATCACTAAACATCTCTGGGAGTGGCTCTCTGTCACCGAGTACATGCTGATGAAGGACCATGGCAGAAGAGTGAGCCAGTGGAACATTTCCAATTGTAAGTCACTTATTCTTCCTTCTCTTTATATAAGCTCACATCAGATACTAGTATTTATTGTTTTTTTGGTTGTTCATACAGATATAAGCTGATGCTTGATTTCTTATAATATAATAAGTTTTTTGAGTACATCTACGCTTGTTTCCTGAGTACCCTGGATGTTTTCCTGAATTTTACAACCTGAATTTTACAACCTGAATTTTACAACCTGAATTTAACCACCTGAGTTTTACAACCTGAATTTTACCACATGAATTTTACAACCTGATTTTCTACGACCTGAATTTTACAACCTGAATTTTCAGACCTGAATTTTACAACCTGAATTTCTCAACCTGAAAAGGCATCAGGAATGAACCTGAATTTTCAGACCTGAACTTTAGAACCTGAATTTCTCAACCTGAAAAGGCATCAGGAATTCAGCATCATGAATTCAGTTTCAGGTTCTGGTGACACTGATTAAACTCATACATATCATAGCGTTGTAGTACCTGAAATGTGGACAAAATAATTCTCATTGATTAATCTACACATTATATAGTATCATATAAATGTTTAACATAACCAAAATATTGAGTCATTGAATTACAAATCATATCCTATTGTAGTGATTTTTGAAATATGGCCAAAATAGCAAATAACTGCAAATCACATTGTAGAAATATTTGAAATATTACCACAGCACTGAATAATTGTTATACAAAATGTATTGTAATATGGTACCATTTGAAAATTATATTATATTAATTAAGTAAATCTTAATTGAATAATAACTGCACTGCATTGTAGTAACATAAGAATATAGAAATAATGCTGCATCCAAGTTGTGTCTAAAACTGGGAAACACCAATTTTAGTTGTGTTTAACATTTGTGTTTAACAGTGAAATTCGGGATTGTAGATGATATGCGAATTTACCAGATGTGATGTAAAATGATGTAAAACCTTTCACCTTTTCCACCAGTGAAAAACGGTAAACTTAGTGATGAATGTAACAACATGATGCACTTACGAAAAATGTGTGTAAAGAGAATTGCCTTGCCACTCAGAAATCTTCTGGGTTTGTCAAACGCTAGAGGGCACTCTTGAGCGAATCTAAAATGAATGGGTTAGTATGGAGCTTTTCAGAAAAATCATAGGACAATTCACCAAACACTCATAAGAAGAAATTTCCACAGTTTTCATGATTCTGACAATCACCAATGTTTTCTTATTTGTTATTTATTCTTAGTTTAAAAAAAAAAAAAGAAAAAAGAATCTATGCACACTCAAGAGCACCAAGGTGTGAACAATTCTATGGTTTAAAAACACATCACAAATCTGATGTAAACTTTTTATTAGGACCTTTCTCAAGAAGAAATTTAAGAAAAAACTTAAGAAGATACTGGTGAATGAGGGCCGCCGCTTAAATATATATATATTTTTATATAGAAGAATGTATTTATTTTCTGAACACAGAACAGCATAAAACATTTTAACACCACTGTTACACTTCTGGGTGTTTCTGAACTCCAGTTATAGGACATTCTAATGGCACCTCATGTACTTTACATTCATGATGTCAGTGAGCGTGAACCACAGTAGCAGTAAGGTGCCTTACTGTATAATAAAGTCAAAGAATATTATATTATTAATTTGATCATTCTTTTGGCAAAATTTCATATACATAAATGCAAATTTACTCACTCAAAAGCAGATTTTCTCAAATTCGAAATAGAAGCTAAACAATACACAACTTCTATTACCCTCTCCAAAAACAAAAAAGCTGCCAAAATAATGAATATATGCACCTTATTTAATACGTTTCTGTAAAAACGTGTTCATTCCCCTGGCTTTCTTTCTTTCTTTCTTTCTTTCTTTATTTATTTATTTATTTATTTATTTTTTAAACTTAGTTTTTTTGTTTTGTTTAAACTTTGTTGTTTAAAATTGTTTCCTCATTTTTCTTATGCAATTTGTTATCTGACTTAACTATATCTGTTCTGCTTTATACTGCTTTTGTACAAATGTAATTATATAATAAACAATTGGGGAAAAAAAATAATAAAAAAGGTGCCTTACTGTTCCTAGTGCCTATAGGAAGTTCCTGGACAATACGTTAGAAATGATTTCAACTTTTTTTGTTATTTAGTTTTTTTCATTTAGGACTTGCTCGCAGGCCATATAGTAGAAACGTTAAACAATGAATTATAGATCGTATTGTATCGTAGTAAAATACTGAATAATTTCACTACAAACTGACTCATATCGTTTTTACTTTTAATTCTTCAGTAGATGTGTATCCGGGACAGCGGAGTGAGAGTTTCCGGGCGAGCTGGTCGCCATTTTGCGCGCAGGACTGAGAGGTAGGAGGAGCAGCGGAGTAAAACAGAGAGCTGAAATAAATTAGAATAAAACTTTACAAAATTACATTAGTTCGGAAAAACACGGTTGTAAAAGAGCGGATAATGCACTGAGGTGTAGGCTATGAGTTGAAAAAGCACCGAGGATGTGCTGGTGTTGTGGTGGGGCCTGCGTTTCCCTGGAGCTGCGCAGAAATAAATAATGCAAAATAAGAAATAATCGACAATGGCATTGAAAATCAACATCAGAGTGGAATAACAATAATAATATTTAGAAAATAGTCTGTTGAGCAACGCGAACAGTAACACTTAAACACTCATACATAGTCCTTTTAAACAGCTGACAGAGCAAAGATTAGCCGCGCTTGCTAACGCCACTGTTAGCTGATTTAATTAATGTTAAACTTATCGCGAATCTGATTGGTATAATGAACGTTTTTTTTTTCATCAGAATAGCAAATATTTGCTAGAATGTTGTTTTCGTTGCGTTTTAGAAATCTCAGCGTTGAAGGATTTGAGTCCAAATGTACAGAAACAGAAATGCTGATAAAATCACATAGCGTTACACTAGTTTTGGTCAGTGAGCAGTAACGTAGTCACAGTGTAGCGTCGGATATTTTTATGCGCCTAAAGTTACATTCCTTTGGGATATTTAGCTAGTGTTAAATAGTCGCTACCAATATGTAGGGGTGTGTGAACTGCCGTGTGTCCTGCTTAGCCAGCTAGTTAGCTAACTCTCTCTGTCTGAATGAACACAAAAACCAAACCCGTGTCCTTCAATAAAAGGAACTTAAGCTAGCTCTGGTGGGACTATGGCTAAAAAAACAGGAGCTCCTCTGTATAGACATTTTAGAGGAAAAAACGCTGTCATTCCAAAAATAAATACATAAATATAAGAAATCAAAATGGGACCTGTGGACCGACATCCGATATTTTTCATTTACGTATCTGCCGATACTAATACATAAACAGAGGGTTACAAATGCAGTACAATGAATAAAATGCATATATTGTGGTGCAGTGCTGCCTAAACATTCTGCTCTTCCATAGTACAATAAATACTTTGTCATATATCGGTCAAATTTTATCTGTCAGATTCTAGTTTTTTTTTTTTTTAGCAAACGTCATTTCGAGTTGATCGTGTATCCCTATACTTAACATCTTTTTAGTACTAGTCATATCAAACAACAAACCTCATTTAGATAAACAGGTGCCATGCAGTAGGTACTGCTACAATTTTGGATAACAAGTAAAGCTGTTTCCTTTCACTGTTCTATTCCGAATGAACTGTTATTGTTTTATATTGGCTCAACAGTTCACTATTTTATAGTTAGGAGTTTTATTGTGATTATGATTGATTGTTAATAAGCTAATAGTAATGTCATTTTTCATATAGTATTTCATTTTTTGCTGTGCTGGCTTTGTAAGTTGTTTCATCAAAGTGTATATCCTCCTCATTCCCCTTAGCTGATTCTGTTTCCAGTTTTCTTTCTTTCAACCCAAAGAAAAGGTCATAAAGTTTAGAAAGAGATTGAGTGGCATTACTAGTAAATATTTATGCTTTAGTCAGGGCTGTGTCTTTGTAGTTAATGCATGCTTCTCAGATTAGGGTATGTTTTGAATAGTGTATGAGATACTTGTGCTTAATCCTTGTTTTGTTGTGGGCAGGCTCCAGGGATAAACACAGTAAGACAAAATGTGGGACCAGGGTGGGCAGCCCTGGCCGCAGTGGCCCCTGAGCCAGCAGCAGTGGATGCAGTCATTTCAGCATCAGCAAGATCCAGGTAAGTTTTTTTATCACTGTCTGTCCAAAAATTTGTAGACACCTACTCCTCCAACACAGCTTCTGAAATCAAGGGCGTTAATAGGGAGGCAGTCCCCACGTTGCTGCAGTCACAGCCTCTACTCTTCTGGAAAAGGCGTTAAACTAGATGTTGGAATGTGAAGATTTGATTGTGTTCAGACACAAGAACATTAGTGAGGTCAGATACTGATGTTAGATGATTAGTTCTGGATAAACTCCATTCCAGCTCATCTCAAACGTATTTCATGGTGCTCCAGAAAACACAGTTGCACTGCTCCACAGCCTAATGTTGGGGGAGTTTAGACGCTCCTAGATGACACTTGCCAGAATGTCCCAATCTATTTGCAGTGCTTGTCTGTGGAGAGCATACAGGCAGTGTGCACGCAATTGGCCATTTGTAAATTCTTAGAAAGTCACACCTCTGTTTTTGTTGCTACATTGTGAAACCTTCAGTTCAGTCTGTTTTGTAGCATTCGTAACACTAAATGTTCAGCAGTACACTAGAATATGTAGAAGCACACAGAGGAGTACGTATAAAACATTTTTTCATTCAAATAAACTATATTTATATGATGTTCGGTACAGTCATGCATGAACTGAAAAAAGCTGTATGGCAACCAATTCAGAGTAATCAAGGAATCTGGAAAGTATGTTTACAGTAATTAACCAGAGAAAAGCCACTCAGTACTAAAACTGTAGATTTTCTTGTCTGATAAGGAGGAAGTTTTACCAACATATGCTAGTCCAACAGATGAGCTCATGCCTAAGCATGGAGCTAGTCAGAACAACATTTGATTCTATGGAGCCACTGGGTGCTGAGGAAGACTCCTCATCTCTTTAGCAAACTTTAATGAAACAATACAAGGAATGGCATGTGTAAAAGTGCATTAATATTTGTCTTTACACACAATTTTAATCAGACATAACTGTACAGTTCTGTTTAATCTGACTGATTTATCAAGCTAACTTTTAACAGCTAAATTAAGAAAAGCTGACTTAGCTGTTGAACTGATTTGTAATGTGTTCTTTTTTTGTTGTTTATCAAATTCTGCATTCCACATAAAGATTAGCTTACCTTAGTTGCTGCATTGAGCTGTGAGAGTGGTCTTCCACATGGAGTAATCAAAACTTTTCCAACTGCAGGAAAGAAATAAACACGGCACCCCCCTCCAGATGATAAAGATGGCGTGCCAGGCATTATACATTTCTTGGAAACACCTTTCCACAGTTTCTTGGCCTAATAATTCTGGTTAATTTAATGCCACTGCTTTTCTAACTGCTTTGTTTTGAGGAGTTTTTCTTTCACAGAACAGAGGAAATGTGTGGTTTAAATGAGTGTCAAGATGTGAGGAGTTGAAAAAGTTGGAATGAAGAAATCTGTGTCACATCAAGCATTTATCAAGTCATGGCTGTAATGATATGAAACAATACAATTGCAGTACTAGTATTCAGTTATTCTTGGATAATGGTTTCAGTAAAGCATGAAAAAGGAGTCTGTAAATAGTGCATATTTTTTACCAAGGGTGATAAGGTAGGACTTATTGTTATAGCGATAACAGCAGTGCCTTTCCAGTAATTTTCTTTTAAATGTATTCCTTTCTCTGCACTGATGACCCCATATTGTACTGTGCAGTGAATGTGTGTGTTTTTTTGTTTGTTTGTGTATTGCAGGTCAGGTGGACTGGGCAGCTCTAGCTCAAGCATGGATCGCTCAGAAGGAGTCGAGCGGTGGGGCAGTAGATCAGCAGCCTAATGGACAGGACATCCCTGGCCTGGACGCTCACAATAACCACACAACCTTCCAAACTCCAGACTCCAACTTTGGGAGAATGTGGCAGCCAGGTAGGACTAAATTTATATATATATATATATATATATAATATAATATATCGCTGTTGTCAGAAAAAAAAAGTATGTATAAATATGTATATGTGTTTGTGTATGTGTGATATATATATGGAAATAAATATTTGATTGTGTATATAGATATTAATATGTATAATAAATATATATTTAACATACTTGCTTTAAATGAGTTTTGGAAAGAAACATTGTTCAGAAATCTTTCAGACAAACACAGTGCTCATGATTTTCACAAAATAGAGATTGAGTAAAAAAATTGTCTCTGTTGCATTTAAATTTGTTATATCCCGTTTCAAAAGCTTCAGAAACCACATGGCAATAGCAGTTTGGACAGAATGGGCTCTTTCATAAAAATAAATATTAAAAACACATCATAGTGGTTTATATACAGATTGGATTTTTATATACAAATTATACGTTTTTGTTACTTTACAAACAATCCTACTTAAGAAAAAATTCCATTGTTGATCTTATGAGTGCAAATCTGTGCTATTTTGTCTCTTAAAAAACCTTTCCATTAGGTTTGATTGTTTTTTTTGTAATTAGAGAAAAATGCTTGAGTTACCACTTAACACTGCAGCCCCAAAAAAGCCTACTAATGCACTTCTATGGCAGTAAACATTAGATTTTGAATGGAAGCCTTATGTCAGCTTTTTGTCATCAGAAACACACGTTTTCACATTCAGACACAGGATGGATATGGTGGAATGGAATTACAATACACGTTAAATCTAGTCTTTGTGGTTTTTAGCCCCCACCCCTTTTTAACATTATATTTTAAGGCTCACATTCTTAGATTTTTTTTAGGTACTTAACATTTTACAGAGACAATAGCTACAATGTCTAAGCTTGACTAAAATGCTTTGATTACTCAACTAATCAACGTATAGGGACAGCCCTAGATTAAATGTGTAAAAAACGTGTAAAACGTTTAGGAATATCTAATCAGTATTTTAATTTAACATTTTTATTAATAATCGTTCCTAGTTTAAATAAAAAATCCTCATTTATATTTTTTTATGATATTCATTTATCATAAACGCATTTAACAAAGTGTGAAGGACAACTGGCATTTGGTGCAGTTGAATTGTGAATCATTGTGCATTTTTACACTCCTAGTTATTTACAAACTTGTGTGTTGTTTAGACTGGTTTTGGAAAGAACATTGATCAGAATTCTGTCATACAAACACAAATTGTTCATGGTATTCACAAAATAGAGATTAATGAGTCAATAATTTTAATAATGTTTAAAATATTTATTAGTAATATCTAATCATTTTTTTAAATGGACATTTTTATTAAAAGTGGTTCCTAGTTTAAATCAGAAATTGCTAGTTTCTTTTTTCTCATAATATATTTTAAGAGTAGTTATTTACAAACTTGTGTGTTGTTTAGACTGGGCGATGCATGGGCAGCCGCCTCCTCCTCCTGCAGATCAGGCTTGGATTACACCTGGGCCGGGACCTATGGATGTTGTGAACCCGTCTGAGGACAGTAACAGCCAGGACAGTGTAGAGTTCACTGCGGATCCGCACCACGGAGTCTTCCCTCAGAACAGCCACGGTTTCGGGAGCCAGTCGGAACATTACCCTATGGCTCCAATTGGAGTCAACCAGTTCGATTATCAGGTATGATGTGAAAGCCCAATAATTGCATGTGGGCAGCTGCAACACTGCTCCATTAATCATCAATGGTGTTGATTATGTGAAAAAGTTTACTGTAAAACAAAACATTGTGATGTTCATATGATCAATGCAATCATTGCGACAGGTTGTACTACAGGAAGTGTAGGTGTCCATATGGTTTCTGTTATTTCATTGCACTATAAAAGAAAAAGTGAAGATGTGATTTAATAATATTGATTGATTCATCTATTGTAGGTGTCATTACTTGTCTCTTTGACAGACAGTCTGTGCGCAGTTGCTTGAATTTAGTTCATGACTCTTTTATTAAAGATTTTTGAATGTTGTTGAAATTCCTTGAAAACATTATGGTTCTTGTTGTGTACTGCTATAAGGCTCTACAATGAGTCTCCTTACTGCAGAGATGGTACTGATCTTCTGCCGTCTGAAGTGTGCACATCACTATATCACCTCTCCTGTTAATACACACGGTGCAATATATCATAACCTGCTGCTGTAATGACACTTTCACTATGCACTTTACATTGTAATATTGCTGCCGCTCCTAGTTGTGTCTATGCTCATTGTGCTTTTAGTTTACCTCATATCACTCAGTGCCTGCTATCATGTAAATACAACAAATCTGTCTCATATGCTATGTAAATATGTAAATAGATATACTTTATTTCTACTCTTATGTCTGTTTTTATTTCTATTTTTTATTTTCTGCATAGTATGTGTAAGTTTATGTGAAATTATGTCTTGCTACTGAAAAACTGCAATTTCCCTTCGGGATCAGTAAAGCTCTACCTGTCTATCTCTATCTATAGCATGGAGCAGCAACAGCAGGAGCTTATGGCCCACCTAGTGCTGGGTTCCACCCTCCTTACTGGTCTGATGGTCCCCAAAACAGACGAGACAGACTCCCAGGGTTCAGGCCAGACCGGCCACGGTCACCCAACCAATTAGGAATCAAACCAGACACACCAACTCTTGGTAGGTACAGACATTTGTTGTTGATGGTTTGGTCAAAAAAAAAACTAATTTACACAGTTATCTCTTCATCTGAAATGTAGTCAGTCAGCCAAGGCATGTTTGGTGTCCATGTTTTTTTTTCAGTTTTGCAATGGAGCTATAAGACTCCTGCAGCCAGAATTCAGATTTCAGTTTTAGAAGTTTTACGTTTCTGAATAGTAGTAGTAATAGTAATAATAATAATGATGATGTTGATAATGATGATAATGATAATAATTTGTGTTACACCTGTACAGTGTTGGAATCTGCACCAATTCGGGCACTTAAGTACAGTCTTGGTACTGGCAATAGTGAGTACCGATACCAGGAAACTGCTGAGTGATGCGCACATGCCTGCCAGTAGTTGGACTTTTACCACACGCAGTGGTGGTGTTGGATTAGTTCACATTTGAGATAAGCAGTAGTGTTTTAAAAAGGCTTTGTAAGCCAGTATTTTGGAGGTTGGCACTAGTAGTCTTTCATATACTGATTAAATTCTTCTTGAGGTATTATCCACATACAAATGCAGGTAACTCAACATTTTAACAATACAAAACACGCTAATTGTAGCCTTTTACTTTAAAGCAGCATTATGTATCAATTTTACCTTAAAATAACAGCTTCAGAATAATTTGGATGGAACATTGACCTATAATAGGAGAATGGTGTCTCTGTCATCACCACTCTGGACCTGGAACACTTGCTTTATGTAACTTTGAAGGAGCAGGCACGAGACCTCTTGCGAGAACTGCTTAACGGTTTACGGCACCACACCACACACCATCAACTCTGGGTCTTCAGTTGACTATAAGAAGAAGCTAGCTCTGTATTCCCAGCATGGACATCATGGCAGAGGCTGCAAAGAATGACCAAGCAAAAGACCAGACAAGAGTAAATCTTGGACTGGCATTTACTCGATGGTGGGAGTTAAGAGATAAAAGAATACAAGACAGTATCACGGCTAACAGGAAAACAACAAATGTCTGACAGCAAAGTGTAAATCTCTGCCAATGTTATTTATCAAAGATTGCGATGTTCTTGGTTCTTTCACATCTGGTGATGTTTTTGCCGGTGTTGTGCCGAATTCAGGTTGCTTTTGAGGGAGTGTACGTTAGAGAGACATATGGAAGGAGCAGCTGGAGTCTAGCCTTTAGCATAACAGGCTGCTAGCTATACTAGTGTTTTCTCTGACACCACCTGCATTGTGCCTTTGTTGGTCAGCTGTGTCAGTATGAGGGCCTGGTCCTTGCATTAAGCCAAAGATCTGCTGCTGCCGGCGGTGTGAATGACTAATATTTGCCAAATTCAAACAGTCTGATGCTCTTAGATTTAGCCTATAGAATAAAAGGGATGCATGTATGAGACATGACTTGAGAAATTCGTTTGTAAAATAAATATTTAGTACTGTTTTTGTAGAGTCATTTGTATGTAATTTAATTTTCTAGTGCCATTCATTCAAGTTTAGTTTGTCTAATTTGTGACGCAGAACACTGCTTTTACTAAAGTGAAACATTAAAAAAGCATAATTGTATAAATATTAGGATTTTTAGGCACCTTTCACAGAAGTGGTATCATTATATCCCTAGTAATAATAAGAATAGAAGGAAGAAGAAGAAACTTTGTACAATGAGATTTTGATGTTTTGACACTTGTTTTGTTCTTGTTCAGATGCAGTTAAACGGAGAACTTTGCCTGCATGGATTCGCGAGGGCCTTGAGAAGATGGACAGAGAGAAGCAAAAGAAGCTGGAGAAGGAGAGACTGGAGAAGGAGCGCGCTGAAATGGCGAACGAGGACAAGGACAATGATATGGTAGAGGAAGAGGGAGAGGGCCCTCGGGTGCCACGCAAGAGCAAATTTGTAAGCATCCTGTAGAGAATGCACTCAGCACTCAGGAGAAGGATCCCTGAGGTTACTGCTGATCCATACACACAATGACCTGCCCAGACATTTACTATTTATACTGTCAGGGATTCTCTTTTTGAGTGGAAGTTCATTGTTCAGATTTGTTAGTGTTTTAGAGGAATTACTTGACCAAGCATGCTAATGTGGCTAACAGCGAATGGAAGCTAGTATGCACCAAATGCATTCATGCTAACTGGTGAATATTCACTTCCATTCATACATGTTAGCAGCATTAGCTTTTTTGACTGAACAATTTCTTTAATGTTTACAGCACATCTAATGGTAAGGAGTGTATTTCACAAAGCAGACTTTTTTTTCAGTTAGCCAGATAACTTAAGCCTAAACTGAAGCTTGTCCAATGGGAAAAGAGGTAAGGTTCATTCCTAGGGGACAATTCTCACTTTTGGCTTAAATTATCCAGCTAACTGAGAAACTCTGCTTTGTTAAATACATACAAAGAAACTGAGGGTTCTTCCACAAGCTTTTGTTCAGTTTGAGCCTCCTCCAACCTTCTGTATGTTTGTGCTTTCAGGACAGTGATGATGAGGATGATGATGGTGAAGAAGGTGAGGCTGCAGAGGAGAGTGTGACGGGAAGACGACCAGACAGTAGTAGCAGAAACTCATCTCCTGCACGTGAGGAGCAGAGCGAACCAGAGATGACTGAAGAGGAGAGAGAGTTTCAGCTGGTTAGCATAAATACTTTTCACTCACACAGGCATGCTCTGGGGCTGCAAATAATGATGATTTCTCTAACCCATTAATCTGTTGACTGTAATTCAGATAATTGATAATTTTAACTATTCTTCACTCTTCAGTTTCTCTCCTTTTGCCACCGACATCATTTAGAGCTCCTGTGGTTACCTAATTTATACTGCATACATTACATTTACTGGCATTGCCCAATCTGTAGGAAAACGTTCATGTTCCTAAATAGTATTTACTTGTGTATATTGCACTCTTCTATGCTGGATTGGCATGCTACCTGCTTTTAACATAATTGTTTATCATTGAAAGCGCATATCTTTAAAACTAAAGAAATTTCCGTTTTCATAACGGTCAGTCACATAAACAAAGGCTGCTTAAAAAGTGAATGTTTCTACATTAACCACTGCAGTGGAGTTGCACGATATGGACATAAAATCCATTTTATCATTGGAGCCCTTACAGGCGAATGCCACTGATTTTTCAAACATTCTGCATTAAGATGTGAACAGTCATTCAGAGTGGTTTGATGTGCAATGTCCTGTTCTCGAGAACCTTAGAGAGTCAGAATTCTTCACAGAAGTGGTGATAGGAACCAGGCGCCTGAAGGAAAGGTTTTGGCCTAAAACATATTTTATATCTGTTCATGGTGGAGAGATACATGCAGAATTTCTTTCGGATTTACCATCATCAGCATTACAAATAAAATCTCATAAGGCACAGATAGGTTCACTGGTTGTTTAGAATAGTAAATAAAATGACTGTATTTGTGTTGTAGACATCTAGTCCCTTGGTTGTTTACAGTGAATCATTTCACATTAAACCACTCTGAATTAGTTTGATTTAATTGTACATGTTTCTAGGACGGATAAATTCCCATTTAACAGTGTGTACAAGTTGCAACAGTTTCTTCTGTGTAACAAGCGATTTCTTCTTTTATGGTGCAGTAAAACAACAGAAGCCATTTCACCTTGTACACTTCCTGTAGTGTATTTCAATCTTTCAGAATGACTGCAGGTGTCATATAAACTTTTTTTTAATGTAAATGACTGATTGATGGGTCAAACGTTTTGCCATACTTGACAGTGTTGATGCCTAATGCCTTTTACTGTTTCTCACTTGAAACCCTGAACAGATGCTCCTGACCAAAACACTTCTGACTGAAGTCCTTCTCGAGGTGACGAATGAAGAAATCCTGCAGGTGGCCAAAGAAACCCACCGCAAAGCCACCAAAGGTGTGCTAGTCTTCTCCTCTGTCCATGAAACTGTGCCTTCCAGTTTAAAAGTGAAGAAAAGCTGCTATTCACACTGTAGTCTTATTTATGCACTGATTGACTTCAAAAATATGAGACCAGTTTGTATGCCTGGCATTTTTATGACCTTGATAAAAAAGCTCTGTATGAACAAGCAAAAATGAAATGTCTCCTCAGCTATTCTCTGCTAATGCGAAATGGGAGGAAAAAGAAACTCCAAAGAGAGAGAGAGAGTGGAGTTTTTGCCTTTGTTTCATCAGAAAGCCCTCAGACGGGTCTGAAAACTCTCCAAAACTGCGTTGTTTATCTCGGAGCAGAATTCTCACTGCTATACCAGCGGGACTCCTGTTTCAGAGAGACTGCATTAGTACAAAGTGGTTATCTCCCTCTTCTCCACTATTGACTTCTGTGTGTGTGTGTGTGTGGGACAAACATTGTTTGTTAACCCTCTTCTTCTCTCCATTTGTTTGTTTTTTTTATGTTCTTGCCAAAGGCAGCACTTGTGAATAGTGCATATCTGTACCGTCCTTCTCTAGAGACTCTTTGAGAAAATGGTGGCTGTATGTGTTTTAACATGTTGTTCCTGTTGTTGATGTGAATCAAAGCTCCTGCAAAACAGCTGGCACAGTCCAGTGCACTGGCTTCTCTGACCGGCCTCGGTAAGTGCTCTTTTCTGCACGCCAACATGGGTGGGGTGGGGGGATTCAAAGGTCAGGGTGGGGTTACTCTGGGCTTAGCTTGTTTTGTACTATGCATTTATTTTATATTATGTATGGTGTACTGTATAGCAGGTGATTAACCATCTGCATCTGTGTATTTGTATTTAGTTTAAGATAATGTCTCCGAATCCCAGGCCTGGGGTGTCAGTGCTCGGCAACATTTTTGTGCTTTCCGTACTCTAGAATCACACTAGATATTGACAGTTGGTATCTTTTTGCGAAATAAGTGTGATTAAATTGGTATGGTAAAATTGGCAATGAAAAAATAATTTAGTGCAGTTGTCAATTTAGCAGTGATATTTGGTGAGTGAGAAAACTATCAGGAAAACTGTAAGGTTTAAGGTTACCACTGCTGTTCGTCACATGCAGCTTGTACAATCTCCTTAGAAAAGCATTGCTAATGGAATAGGATTCTCTAGAGCAGCTGCACATGAGCTGTGAAGTATTGAAACTATGTTCACTGGAGTGATGGAGCACCTTTTAATTTCGTTGGTATGAATTAGAGTGGTGTGCGTGATCCAGATCTAATCATCCAACATCAGTGCCTGACCTCACTAATGCACTTGTGACTGAATGCAGAGCTGAGTGTAGATCTGCAGGTGTCTGTAAACTTTTTCATGTATGAAGAACCGAAGTTTCACAGTTTATCATCAAGGGTTTCAAGTCTATGACATGGAACCCTGTTGTATGTAATGTGATGTGAACGTGCTTGCCAAATTTACCTGACCAAGCATGTGAGGACCTTGTTTTAAAGTTCATGAGTTGAATCAGGTGTTCTAGATCAAGGAAAACACAAAAATTAGGGTCCCCAGCATGATGGCGATTTGGGACTTAAAAAAACATATCTGCCGAGGTCATTAAAGCATGCTTCATTACTCAGGAGGTGACGTAAGAGAGAGTATGGGTGTGTGTGTGTGTGTGTGTGGGTGGGTGGGAGAGAGCAGTGATACGGATGTTGGAGTGTTTTAAGCTGTGTGTGTATTTTTGCTATAAGCATGGGCTTTGTCGCTGCAGGAGGTCTGGGTGCATATGGTTCGGACAGTGAGGACGAGCGCAGCGTGAGGGGCTCGGAGTCGTCCGACACCGACGAGGAGGAGCTTCGCCACCGCATCCGCCAAAAACAAGATGCCTTCCGCCGAAAAGAGCGTGAGCTACAGCAGCAGGAGAGACAGGCCCTGGAAGCACATGTTATCACAGGTAATGTCACATGGCATGCACTACTCCTATTAAATGATAGTACATGTCAAATTCACATTTTTTTTCTCCTTTCTACAAATGTAGTCTATCAGACCACTTGTGTTTTGTATCTAAAGTTTGCTTTACTTTTGCACGGGAGCTACAAGTTTATACTTCACCTATTAGCTTTGTGCCACTGAAAAAATCTTTGGCCAAAATATATGTGGGGAATTTTAATTTTTTATTTATTTATTTATTTATTTATTTATTTATTTTTTGGAAAAATGGCCCAAGATTTTGACTGAAAAAAACATACAGATTAAATAGGCCTACAACACAGTGATTTTACAAATCATTTTAAAAATTTCAGTCTGAGCTGCAGAAGATCCAACAATGAACGCGCTGGCTGTGGAACTGTCATGTTTTCTATGAGGAAGAAAAGCAATATAAGCAATATAATTTCTGTTCATGTCAGATGTCAGGGGGAAATACAGCATTCAAGAACTTCTCCATTACAGGTGTAATAACACTGTGAAATGCAGAATATAACAAAACAGCAGAAGCAGAAAGGAAAGTCCCTGGTAGCAAGTTAACAGCATCTGTAGCTTCAGTTTTTGAAATGACATAGTATAAAGTAAAAAAAAACAGCACTGTCGTAGATGAGCAGCATTTCTGTGTTATCCACAATGACTGAATTCTTATACATATTGTAATCTTTTCCTTCTCATTCCAGTTTTCTCATTTTTACATTTTATAAAGGTTTATGTATCAGCATATATATACAGATGGGCAAATATGAAAAATATGGGATATATGCCCACAATTCCAGTATTGATGCATCCCTGCATCTAGCTAACCTTGATAGCTGTTAGATATAGTTAGATATAGACATCTTTTAGATATAGTCTTTTTCTTGGTTACTGCCTCTGATTCTGTCTCCAATAAGCTGTTGTGTAATGTGAATGTATCTTTTATTGTTTAAAGACTGTAAAATAAAAATAATTAGCCAGAGAAAGAGCATAGTTTAGATATTTGCTGGCTTTCCAGTTAGTTAATGTGTGCAGCTTTCTCCTGCTTCAGCTCATTTTTCTGATTTATAAAACAATGTAAATACCAAAAAAATGACAGATAATTAAAGATAATTCAATAGAAGTCAGCCAACTTTGTCTAGCTAAGTTAAATTCTGGAGATTCGTGAGTTGTTTAGATGGTCATTAAGGTATTTATGATGGGTTAATGTCTGAGAAATGACATACAGCATTCCACTTTCACTTTTACCATAAAAGAACAGTATATAGGTAAGTACCAGTTGAAAATCACATACCTTTCCAGATTAATGACAGGACAGTCAGGTTGTTATATTACAGTCTGCATCCACAAAATTGCCGTTATTCAGAGTACTCCGGAGTTTCCTCTGTTTACTTCCATTCACTCTGTTAAGGCTTTGATCTCTGTGCTTGCACCCTGTTACACTTTTTAGACCAAGGATTGTCGTCTTTGGTACTGCCGTACGCCAGGCATACATTTTGTCAGCTTATCTTACTATATTAATGCACTTTGTGATTTTGCATTTCCAGACTGAAATTAATCTTTTTTCTGTGCAAAATTGGTTAATCAATGGTCAGGACTCCCACAGGACCACAACAAAGCAGTTATTTAGGTAGTGTGTACTTAATGAAGTGGCGTGTCTGTGTGTGCAGGGTGAATATATGGGTGAATATGTGCAAGAGTTAGTGAAAATACTTTTATTTGTCTTTTCCAGAAGCTTCGAGTGGAGGGAGCAGGGAGAGAGAGACTTATGAAGACGATCAGTCAGAACCCAAACACAAACAGGAAGTGAGAGATAGAGAGGTGGAGCCAGTGGCAGAGCGCCGCAGGTCGCGTAGTGAGGTGGAGGTCAGCGAGGTTAAGAGGTCAGGGTCAGGAAAGGAGCGCACGGGCCGCGGCGTGGAAAGCACTAATGGCTCTCCGAACGAACGCCACAGCCGCTCGTCACGCTCCAGCTCCACTTCCTCCTCCAGCCAGTCCTCTTCCTCTTCCTCTTCTTCATCATCACGCTCCTCCTCACGCTCCTCTTCCTCTCCGCGGAGAAAGAGGAGGCGCAGTCAATCCACCTCCTGCAGTAACCGCAGGCACAGCCAATCAGAACGTGGGAACCGGGAGAGGAGGCGGAGTAGCAGAGACAGAAGCTCTGCCCACCACAGGAAGCGCAGCCATAGTAGAAGCCGCAGCCACTCTCGCCCGCGGCGGTCCAGCAGGGGCCGCAAGAGCAGGTCCAGGGAAAAGGCCAAAGCGGCAAGCCGCAGCTCCAGCAGAGACAGGCGACGCAGACGCAGCCGTAGCCGAAGCCGCAGCCGCCGGAGGCAGAGAACGACCAGCAGGGAGAGGGAGAGGAGGAAAGAAAGGAGCCAGAGTCGAGAGAAGGAGAACAAGAAGAAAAAAGAGAAGGAGATAGACAAGAGGAAAGAAAAGCAAAGGGGAAGAGAGAGAGAGAAGGAGAAAGAGCGAGAAAGAGAAGGCAGCTCGGTGAGGGAGGAAGAGGGCAGGTCTAGGAAAAGACGCGAGAATGAACGTATAGACTCACACAGTGAGAAATATTCACGGCAGGACAGCAACAGCAGGTCTAGTAAGAAATCTTTGGCCAAAAGTAGCCGGAAACGCTCGGACTCCGACTCCAGCAGGTCCCCGTCCCCTGAGCTTAGCAAGGGAAAGAAGTCTAAAAAAACTAAACGTAGTCGATCAAGGTCAACGGAAAAATCTCACAAGTCTGGTAAGAAGGCAAGCCGCAAACACAAGTCTAAGTCGCGATCAAGGTAGTATCCATTTTTACTCTTTTTCTTTTATATGTATTGAGCTATGTTTGTGTTTGTCTCTGATTCATAATTAGTTATAAATGTGTATATATGTCTGTTTAACAGTTTTCTACTTAAATGGTAGTCTTTAGGATTTTCTCATTTCAGATAATTGCGAGTATGCTAAAAATGTGATATTAATGATATTAATATTTTCCAGTAAAGCAGGCGATTTCTGAAGTGTTTATATTCAAACTGCTTTTCCTATTCATTGTACACTGTTGATGCTACAGCTGTAGAAGGTGTGGTTATGTATTGATCTCTTGGATGTAAAGAAGTGAGTGTGTAAGATTGCACTAATGGTGTCCTTGTATTTTTGTTTGCAGGTCAAACTCTCCCAGCCGCCGTAGGCGCTGAGGGGCGCTGGTCCTGACTCGTGCACTTATTTTAAAATTCCATGAGTTTAACGGGCTTGTCTCATTGTGGAGGCAACGTTGTAGGTGAACTCTCCACTCGCCCCCACCCACCCCCAACCAAACCCTGCCCCCCACCCTCTTCCCAAACCCACACAGTTGTAAATATGTGATATTTTTTAAGTGATGTCTGCAATACAGGACGTTTTGAATTCTAGTTTTTTTGCCTTGTATTATGCAAGACTCAGCATTAGGTAGTCACTAGGATCTTGAAGCTGTTTAACATTTTAAAACCCTCTGCAAGAAGTAAAGAATTCACATTTAATGTAAATTGTCCAATAAAACAAGAATGATTCTTTGTCTGCAGCCTGAAGTTCCTTCTGAAGTTTTCCGTTTTTTATGTGGTGCTGTGACTGAGTAGTCGTTTCAGGGAACACAGTTTCAGAAAGCATACCCTTCCACTAACTGACTTTATTTAAAAACTGTACAATGCAGAAAGTGATGTAATACACAATACAAGAAAGGGAAAGTAGAAAATGTTGGTCCGGAGAGTTCAGATCCTTTCATCTGTCAAGTATGAATCTTCTTAAATCTCCAGGGGAATGGTTTGTATGTTCAGAAAGCATTAAGTGGTCACAAATAAGTCAGACTCATAATTAATGTGTCAATACATGTAGGCTAGGATGTTTCTTGCTATAAGTAGTATATGCAAGTGCCTATTTAATGTTTACTTATGTGAACAGATAATCTGTTTACAGTTTAGATGGCTGTTGCCTCTGCATATATTTAGCTGTTGTTTTATGATGTTTGCTTTAGACTAACTTTCTTTCCCTCATCAATGATTCATTCTTGCATTCGAAGTAACATGATTGGGGTGGCCCTCCAAGTAGGATGCCACTTAGGACCACTAAATGATTAATAACAGCCCTGCACATGTGAGCACTTTTCATCCTGGAGTTACATTTCACTTCTCTTTTGCACTAAGCCCTTAAGCCATCATTGATCATATAAGGATATTAAGAAAATTAGAAACCAGGGCTAACTTCTTTGTCCTCAAATTTCTCCTTTTAGACACTGTACACTCATGATAAAGCATACCCTGCTGAAAAAGAAACAGACTTGCATGATTTCCATACTGGTGTAATGTGATTTATGCTGGTTTAGCTGGTCAGTCAGCACGGTCATGGTAGTTGACCAGCATTCAAAACACAACGTACTAGCTTTGCTGATACATGCTGTTTGTTAAGCAGGGATTACTGAGCTGTTTGGAGGGCTGGACTTGAAAAGTCATGAGCAGGACAAATAAGTACACGTAGAAAGGATAAATACTCATTCAAACATTGTCACGAAAATGTGTACGTGTTGAATGACCCTACGAAGGCAGTGTGCCACACACACACTTGTTTGGCCGGAACGTTTGGGACGGTGGTGAGTTTCCAGACGACGCAAAATAATGTAGGACATCCAGCGGTCACATTGGAGTGACTGACAGAGCTATTTAATGCAATCTATGATTTATTTATTAGACTAAATAACATGCGATCATGTATTCTAATAGACTTGGACAACTCGCTTGCAGACCCTTCACTAAGGCCAAGTTGCAGTGGCCTTGTGCGATGAAGCAGCACAGACACTTACAACCGCGGTGAGAAAACGTTTTACACAAATACTGTTATTGTAACTTCGGATATTCAGTTAAACTGGGTATTTGTACTAGTTTAAGGTAGCCCTAGGTTGCTACCCCTATTAACAAATTACTACACCAGGTATCCCTCTTAACAACGTACTAAACGAGTTCGATTCATTTTTTTGGGCAACTGAAGGAAGGTCTAGTCTCAAATAACGTTAACCTAGTTCCATGTGCCGTAGTGCACTTGCTACGAAAGTTAGGACAGATTAAGTCTCTGGTACTCAAAAATTGCACTACATGGGTCTGGCTTCTACGCTAAAGGAGCGCACTACGTAGGTCGTAATGGCTTGTGCAGTTAAATAGTGCATTTCATTGGTCAAATAGTACACTTGATGGGTAATATAAAGGGTTCTACGCCCAAATACTTAACTAGATAACTGCTAGGTCCTATTGGAACTGTTACTACATCAAAGTAACGCACTACATAGGTCTGTTAAGACTTGTTCACTGATCTGTTGCACTACATAAGGATTCTTTCTGAGTTTGTTTAAGGATTAAAGGATTAAATATCTGTTCTCCCATAGCCTGCTTGTCCAGAGTGGGCGGATGGTCTCCCACAGCACTGTGGACCCAGCTGAAGTGAGGAAGTTCCAGGCGCTAGCCAGCAGGTGGTGGGATGAGCAGGGCGAGTTTGGGGTGTTGCACGCCATGAATGAGCTGAGGGTGCCCTTTATACGGTCAGTCTGGGCAGTTATACACAGCTAGCAATATGAGTGGGAAAGATGGCGATATATTATTGTTATGGTGAGAAAGAGCATCATGATGCTCTTTTATATAATAAGTAACGTCAGTACTCATAACACTGAGCAACTGCATGTCATTGAAATGAGAATTTTATAGAGCCTGTAAAAAACAACAGTATGTAATGTATAGTAATCCGTTATCCATTATCCTATTCATTATATTATTCTATTAAACTATTTTAAGCAATTCTTAAAATTTTGTCTTCATTTTCCTTCTGTCTAAGACTGAATTTAGTTGTACTCTTTGCTCTACAAATGTGGCACTACTGTTTTGCTGGTGTATTTTGTTAGCATTAATGATAAATCCTGGGTAACAGATCGCATTCCAAATCCCAAAGTTGTTGGATAGGGCTAATGTTAGGGCTGTATGCAGGCTAGTCAACTTCTTCCCCAATTCGGCAAACCAGGTCTTTATGGACCTCACATTGTGCACAGGGGTGCAGTTTTTAAGATTTGTTTCACTGGCATTAAGGGGTCCTTCCCAAACTATGAAAAACAGCCCCAGACCATTATCCCTCCTCCACCAAATATAACAGTTAGCACTATGCATTCAGAAAAGTAGTTTTTTGCCTGACATCTACCATTAGACTGCTAGATGGTAAAGCATGACTTTTCACTTCAGAGAACATGCTTATGGTGCTCCACAGTCCACTTACACCACCAGTGCCTGCCATGGCCCTTGATGTTAAGCGTGTGTGGAGCTGCTCAGCAATGATAAATCAAATCATGAAACCCCTGATAACTCTTCTGCTGACTTTGCTTCCAGTGGTCTTGTGCCCAAATAGGCAGTTTGGAACTTGGTAATGAGTGTCACGATTGAGGACAGGTGATGGCGGCAGTCCCATTCTGTGAGCTGGAGTGGCTGAGCAAATAACAACACTTACAGTTGACAATGGCAACTTTACTAGGGCTGAAATTTGACAAACCGACTTGTTACAAGGGCGGCATTTTTGGTAGTGCAACGTTGAACGTCACTAAGCTCTTTGTACAGCCATTCTACTGCCAGTGCTTGTCTGTTGAAATTGCATGACTGTATTTTTCGATTTAATGCACCTGTTAGCATCGTAGTGTATATCAGTCTTAATGGCACAGTAAACAAAACGGTGCGTTAAATTCTAAGGGATAAAAATTGGCAGTTGGCAGCAGTTCCTGCTGATGTGTATCACATTTCTCTCTTATGGTATTTTACAGTCATCTTGTAGCACGAAGGTGACAGAAGATATGCTAATCTGATGTGCTTTGACCTTTGACCTTTCCTGTAGGGATAACCTGTTGAATGTGCACAGTGTGCGGCAGATGGGCAGACCACTCTCTGGACTCAGGATTCTGGACGTTGGCTGTGGTGGTGGCCTGCTGACTGAGGTAACGCTTTCTTTTAGCGATTAAAATATAATTCTGCCATTGACATTCATTAAGTAAACGTCTGAGGTCAACAGAATACTGAGGTGTAAAGTTTTGTATTGATATCAAAAATCAACCAAAACAAAGGGTCTTGTCACAAAGCCGCTTTATGGAAAATCGTTGTGTTGCATTTTTTGTGTCGTTTTTTCTTCGTATTTCTGTAGGCTATGCTTTTATGCAGTTTTCTTCCACATTTAGTTGTGGCTAGTTCCACCTGCTTGTTAGGTCTCTCTCATCTCTTGATGCTACCAAAATGGGAGGGTAAAGACTAAAGGTGCTTACACATTAGATAACGCAAGAATGGAGAGATCAGGGAGAAATCTGTACGGTTGAAATTCAAGTGAGCAAATGAGTTCTGTTTTTCTGTCCGTGCATGTTTTCATTGGTTGACGTGCCTCTATGTCAGAATTCATTGTAGGAAAAGTTTAAATGGTTTGAGCTGTTTGACACTAGACAGAGCGTCTTTTCTCTGCATACAGGCACATTTTTCTAGTTTAACAGAGCTAACGCAGCATCCTAACTGAAACCCATTGAATGAGCTGTGTTTTTGATGTTGCATCAGATTCTCGTGGGAAGGCAACCTAACACATGCATCCTCCAAAAAACATTAAGCCTGCTGCTGCAGCTTTTCAAACTGCCACTAACACAGAGCCATAAAATATACAAAAAAATGCATCAGCAAATCAGCAAATAGAAAAAAATCAAAGCAAAATGGGAGTGAAAATGAGAAGTAATCTTTTTTTAAACATGAAGTTTGATTTAATTCTCAGTTGTATTGCAACATATTTTATATATTTTGTTACCTAATACTTCACCTGTGGATTTTATGTATTTTTTAACTTTTGACACAAAGTTAACTCCATATGAGTTAATGTGTAGGCAATTTTGACAGATTGGATTAATGACTTTCAATTAACTGATTGTTCAAAACCTTTCTAAATGTGTTTACAACACCCCAATAATTACAGATCAATAAGCAGTTGCTTGGACGAAATGCCATATTGCAATAATATTGAGATTCTGTTGCATTATGTTTAATTATATTTTAAATATACAGCACGTAGACTGTGACATGGTTAAGGACTGACCTGCATTATTTTGTCCAAAATAATTTGCATCTGCTATATTACATGAATACTTTGATTCATTGAAATCAAAGTCATCGGGGACTGTGATTGGTCACAGTACACTGTGAGTGGTTAGAGACTCATTTGCATATTGCAGCCTTTTGCGCTATCAGTATTGCAAAGGCCAGCTTCGCAATAATGATAAACAAATGGTATAACGTGCAGTCCTACACTAAGCTGTAGTATTTTGACCATTATTTTTTTTTGTATGGACTTTCCTGAAGCCCCTGGCCCGACTGGGTGCAGATTTGTTGGGGATTGACCCGGTGCAGGACAGCGTGCGGATTGCAGAGCTGCACCTGTCACATGACCCAGCGCTGAGTGGGCGTGTACAATACAGAGCCTGCAGCCTGGAGGAGTTGGTTGAGGAAGAGGAGGAGGCGAAAGAGGGCTTCCATGCTGTTCTCGCTTCAGAAGTGTTGGAGCACCTGGCTGATCTAAACACCTTCATAGACTCCTGCCACCATGTACTAAAGGTAACTCTGATTAATATGTATGCATATTAGGGCTGTCGCTGTCAATTAGAAGATATTGTATAGATATTAGTAATTGAGTAATCAGAGTTTTTAAAGCAGACATAAATATGGATGGAACAATAACAAATTGTTATATTTTGTTTGATTCAATGTTTATTATCTCTACAGGGTAATTTATAAATAATAGAATATTTATAAATTACCCTTTATCATAAAATACAGATAAAATAAATACAAGTACATAATAACCTTATATATTAGAAAGAAACCAGTAGGAAAATGAAACAACAGTAAAAGTTAAAAAGTAATCCCCAATATATGAGTAAAATATTTAAAAGGTAAAATTGGTGAAATTAAATGATTTGTTGATTTTCTAAGTAAAAATTTTGTTGATTTTCTGAGTGAAAATTAACACGCCCTCTACAGAGAACACACCTCTGAACATTTTAATACACAGTTACTGTTTATTAGCTGAATTTAAAATACTAGGGGAAAAACATCAAATGTGATCTGTGCAAAAGTTATGGCACATTACGTATTTTATTTTTTATGGTTTTCCAGTAAGTTCAGCAGTGAACAGAAATTGTGCACTAAAGTTTGCAGAAAAATGCCATATATGTTTGTTCCCTGTAGAGGATGTATTCATATGCTGAGAAAATCAATAAAACATAATTTGTGTGTGTTTAAACCTTTGCATATGACTTTATAACAAAAATTAAATTACTGGGATATCCCTTGTTTTCATGCATTGGGTTGTCATCAGCAGAGCACCTTCATAGTTTGCAGTAATGGTTGCATTGTCTGTGGGTTTTCGCTTTTGAGTTTCTAGTTGAACATAGCAGAAATAATCAGGGGGGCAAATACACTAACCACAGTAATATCTCCATGACACATTAAAAGTGGTCTATTATCAAGTAAAGAAAAATGTGAAAAAAGTGAGTGTTGTCTCTGACTTATGTTTAGTTGACTTGCTGATGTCAACCCAAAAGAGCTAAGAGACTGAAATAAGAAATGCAAGTAAACTAAGTAATCTAAATCAGTATCACTTTGTTTTGCCAAGTGTGTTACACACACAAGGAATTTGTCTTCGTTAGTACACACACATATGATGTGTAACATCAGACAGACCAAATAAGTACATGGATTATTAACAAATAGTAAAAAACAGATGAAAGAAAATAAAAAATACTACAATGAACTACAAGAGAGTAGATATAAAGAACTATTGTGAAAAGAGACAAAAGAGAAAAATATGTAAACATGTACATATGTGCAAGGACATAATCAACTGCTATTTACAGTATGATACAGAGTGATATGAACATTTTTACACCTGGGCAACAATCTGTTATGGCATAGAGTGGAGTTATGTGCCACAATAAGGGATGGTTTGCAAATTCCATTAAAATGTCCACTGCAGTTAATGAGTGCTACGGCTCTGGAGAAAAAGCTGTTAGCATGTCTTGATGTGTTAGCTTTGATGGCCCTGAATCTTCTTATTGTTGCTATCCAGTGTCGACCAGAGGAGGATGGGTTCCACTTTTGAGTCTTGGTTCCTCTCAAAGTTTCTTCCTCTTGCTCTTAGTGAGTTTTCCCTTGCCACTGTCGCCACTGGCTTGCTTGTGGGGGCTCGGACCCGGATTTTTCTTTAAAGCTGCTTTGTGACAATACCTATTATAAAAAGCTCTATAATTTTGACTTGACTTCTGTCAGAGGAAAGTGGGTGGAAGAGGTGATATGGGGATAAGAGGGATCAATTGTAATCTAAAAAGCCCCCTTCACCACCCTGCTGTTGTAGATGTCCTGAAGTGTTTTGAGACTACATCCAATGATCCTCTCCACTCTCCTGATAGTGCACTACAGTTTTGTCTCATTTTTGTGAGATGGAAGATCCAAACCAGATGATCATGGATGAAGTGAGGATGGACTAGCTGTGTAGAACTGGATCATCAGGGCTAGCATCAGGTTGAATTTCTTGAGTGAGCCATGCCCAGAAACTTGAGTGACTCCACAGTGGAAACCATGGAGCCACTGATGTTGAGGGGCGCTGGGGTGGAAGGTTTACATTTGAAGTCCACTATCTCTGCAAGCATTTGTATGCTCAGCAACAGGTAATTGTGCCTGAACCAGGACACCAGCTGCTCAACTTACTGTTGGTTATAAGGTGGTGTAGTCTGCAAACGTCAGGATCTTCACAGATGGTTCCTTACAGATGCAGTCATTGGTGTAGAGACTGAAGAGGAGGTGTAAGAGCACACAACCTAGAGTACTGAGGGTCTGAGGGTCTGCTATGTGTTTTTCTAGCTGCATTTGCTGCCTGCTTTTGGCAGGAAATCCACAATGCACCGGCAGATCTGGCACAGGTTGGACAGTTTGACTTGCAGGAGCTCTGGTGCAATGGTGTTAAAAGCCAAACTGAAGTCCACAAACAGAACTTCAACAGGTCCCTGGACTGTTGTGATGCTGTAGCATGAAGTTAAAGGCCAAGTTGACCACATCATTGACAGATCTCTTTAAAAAGTAGAAGTTATAAAACTGAAAAAGTTATAAATATTTATAAAGAAGAGTTTTAGGAAGCTTGGACTGCTAATGTTTATGGCAGTGTTTACTGCCCTGTAACTCCCTGCTGCCCCATAGTGGCCTCCATGAAGTGTGTGAGCTTTAACTGAGAGAGTTTAATCTTGTGGGTCAGTGTGTGAGAGGCCAGTCCGGGAGTGAAGAATCAGTGTAAATCCCCATAATCCACTCTAATGCTGCTATAGCCAGTTAAAATAGGAGCCAAATAGTTTGTCAGTCTACTCACCAACTTAATCTTCTGCTCATTTAGCAAAGGATCCTGCTGAATTCTAAATGATGGTGCTGCGTGGTATGTACAAAATACTTGTATTGTGATTATATTACAATTGCGGTATGTCTTGCAATATATTAAAATGGTGAATCAAGAATGCATTGTGGTTAAAGCTTGACCTGCATTGTTTTGACCAAAATAAGTTATTTTTTTGTTAACCTGTGTTGGATTACATGAATACCTTGATTCATCAAAACACCCACAGAAACTCATGTGGAAATGCGCTTGGTCTGTATTTTCTCAGCACACAGTGAAAACTGCTGTAAGTGTTTAGACGGTTCATTTGCAAAGTAATGGATGATCATGTTAGAGGGTGTTGCATTTTATTTTGTCTACACTGCAGCCTGGCGGCTCTCTCTTCATCACCACCATAAATCGGACACAGCTGTCCTATGTTCTGGGCATCGTTCTGGCCGAGCAGATTCTTCGGATTGTACCTAGAGGAACTCACGACTGGGAGAAGTTTATCAGCCCTGTGGAGCTGGAGACGCTGCTGGAGTCCAGTGAGTCTGATAAATTGATACATTATTCATCATAACCTAGACTTATTAGTCCACAAAGTTGATTAGTCATTGTCAAGGTGAATTATTAGGGGAAAAAAAAGTAAAGGCATAATTAACATAAAAACAAAAGGGCTCTATAATGCTCTATAACGTTTATATGAAACTGGGTTATTCTGACAGATTGCAGTACAGTACAGGAAGTGTAGGAGGTGATATGATATGTAGGGCTGTACGGTTGCTTTTTTAGGTAATATCAGTGGAACTAGCCAACATCAGCTAGAATAATTAGCAAACAGCTGAGCTGCAGAGGCTGCAAATAAGAAACTAACTTGTTCTGCATTTTCTGTCATGTCCTAACAAAGCATTCTTGGCAACATGCTCACAGTTGCCTGAGTACTTGTGCACATTCCTATTCTTAAATGTTCATAGGATCCACAGGATTCATTCTGACAGATTGCAGTACTCACAGGAAGTGTAGGGGGATGATATGGCTTTTATAGTTTTATTGCAACCTAGAAGTAGCCGTTTGTTGCCCAGATGGGCCTTTGAATGAGGGTGGCAGAAAAAAAGAGAGGGACCAAAATAGGGAGGATAGTTAGATTAGTTTAGTAATAGTTATAGTAATAGTTGGAGAAATAGAAATAATTGTTAGTTGCAGCCCTATTATTAACAGACCATTTTGGTAGTACAGAGCATCCGGTTGGGTACCATTTGTCACTTGTGGCAGGTCATTAAAGAATATTTTTGGCAAAAGTACATACAAAATCTAGACTTCAAGATTGCTATGCACCATACTTTGTTTTTACATTTTTATTGACGACAGTATGTCGTACAGTGTCAGAAACCGCATAATCAAGTCCATTTGAGATTACTTAACAACTCAACACAAGTATATGATGATTATGAAGTACATGCTAACTGATGCACATAAGCTTCTGCTACTCATTAGCTACATTTGCCTTGTAGCTCCTAAGAAAAAACTTTAATTTCAGTATACAGTAGATATTTCCTCAGTTGGTGTTTTAATGATGGTAGTATAGAGTGTGGTCTCACACATCTGTCCAAAATGTGCCTTAGATGTTCGACTGGACTGGGATCTTGTGACTATGAAGGCTGTAGCATATGATTTACATAATTTTCATAGTCATACCACCATTCAGTGAGCCCTCGTGCCTTCTAGATGGGGTCATTGTCATCCTATAAAAGACCACTCCCATCACGACTGAAATGTTTTATTATTTGATAATGGTGATCAGTCAGAATAACTTTGTATTGATTTGCAGTGATCCTTCTCTCTAAGGGGACAGGTGGGCACAAAGCATCTAAGACTTGTGGAAAATATGGTGAAGGATGACACATCTGACCATATAATTTTTTACTCTCAAATGTGCAATGTAATATTAGCGCTAAATCAACAATGCTGTATATCTGATTCCCACACTGTACATTCCAGTAAAATATTCTTTACTTTGTATACTGCAATTTTATTGATAATATTAGTGTAAATATTTTAACTTTCAGAGTCTACATCTGTATTATTTTTAGATTTTATATTATTTTAACTATCTGTCTAGCTAGTTGTTAAACAAAACTGTTTTTGTAATTAATGGTCATTGCAATGTGGGATATAACACCTACTTAAAATACCTTGAAGCTTTATCAGTTTGCGATAAACATAAACCCTCAAAGTGCATCGTCTTGATATTAACGTTACTCCAAAACTACTTTGGTTCTGTAATGTAGACATTTATTTATTTAAATATATTTATGTATATTTATTGCAATACAACAAACAAATAAGAGTGATGTCCCTCACAGTCTTGCGCGTTATGTATACAATTAGGAAGATAACAATACTTATACATTCTAATACATATTCACAACCACACAGACACGCATACTGGGTGTTTTAAAGTTGGACAAATATAGGGTTGTCATATGATGTAAATGTGGCAGGCAAAAAAAGGCCAGAGATACAGCAGGCCTGTGTGATGAGAGTGGTGTTCTAAAGCCCTTTATAAAATTATAGACAGAACCAAAGTTTTACACAGGTTTGGTACAGTGGCATATTAAGCATTTACAGCTTATCATAAAGTCCACTAGTGATTTTGACACAAAAAGGAAATCATTTACACCATTTACAGCTGTTGTTGTCTCCTGATTGCCTCTGTATGTGTGCATCTTTCTCTTTCTCTCTATCTCTCACTCTCTCTCTCTCTCTCTCTCATACACTCACACACACACACACACACACATACACACACACACATATACATACACTCACTCAGCTGGTTTCAGTGTGGAGTGTATCCGCGGCATGTTGTATAATCCTGTTTCCGGCGCATGGAGTTGGCAGCAGAGCGCGGCCATCAACTACGCTCTACATGCCCTCAAACGGAGGGAGGAGCCACAGCCGGACCGAGTCCAGACAGAGGGTGAAAAAGTGGATGAAGTTGCACATGCTGCCGGCCAATACTAAGCTCGAATGGTAATGCAAGTTCAGGATTCAGACTGCTGAAAAAATCTAATTTAAGCAGTTTTCCTCCTTACACCAAACAGACAGTCAGTCAGCCAAGACGTGTTTAGTGTCTGAAGGTTGCCTGTTTAGTTTTGCACTAGGCTAATGAGGCTAACAAATACTAGAAGCCTATAACCCGCTAATTTAGTATGAAATCATTGCACACTTCCCTCAAACCATGTAGAGTTGTTAAGTAATCTCATATAGACTTGGAAAAAAGTACATTACGTAGCTAAAAACAGTAGAAGCAATTTTGTCCATACATTTTTGCAAAACTAAAGAAGCAGATTTTGGATATCAAGCATATGTTGGCTGATCCACTGCATTTGAGGAGGAAACTGAGTAAATTAGATTTTTTGCCAGATTGTCGCTTTAATATGTCAGAAGATCATTTGCTGCTGCATGGATGTACATGCACACATACATACACACACATTCTGCATAGTTGCCATGAAGGTTCATGTTGTGTCTGCTTGTAGTGTTTTCATTACTCCAATTTTCAACAGTCTGAAGGTTATGGTGAGAAGTGATAGTACATTGAAATTTGTGTGCATTTCTTTATCTGTTTAACACAGTATATTCCTATAAATTCATATTTAAAGATACACACATGGCTTCCTGCTGGCAGTAATAACATGTTAAAGGACATTATGGATTTCTTCTTATATTCTGTATAATAATCTGTTTGTACTTTAAAGATAATTGCAATAAAATAAATATTTTTTTCTGAATTATACGACTCAAAAATCATTTCAAAAGTCTGGCTTGTCTGATGATCAGACTATTATAATGTGAATTGTGTTGCCAGAACAGTTTACATTGTCGAAACAATGCAAAAATGTAAAGTGTGATGGTTTTTCTTTCCACAAAACAAGACTCTGAACTCACACATTTAAATGATCAAATTCAAATTATAGTAAAATGTTTCCTCTTCTACTAACAAACACAAATGTGAGATGGATTCAGAGTTTAGAATCTGCACTTTCCAAAGAATTCCTCTGTTTGTTTCAATGGGTTATGAGTAAATATTAACATAAAATTATAACATGTTTGTTATAATGGGGCAGTCATGGGCTGGAGGTTAGGGAACCAGTCTTGTGACTGGAAGGTCACTGGTTCAATCCCCTGAGCTGATAGTACGTGACTAAAGTGCCCTTGAACAAGGCACCTAACCTCCAACTGCTCCCCGGGCCTCCCACTGTTCCAGGCAAGTGTGCTCAATGCCCCCTAGTGTGTGTGCATTCACTAGTGTGTATGTGCTGTTTCACTGCATGGATGGGTCAAAATGCAGAGGTGAAGTTTCCCCATTGTGGGACTAATATACATCATTTAACTTTTATATATTTTATATATGATACTGGTGAATTCTATGGGTTAATATATTAAATGCATCTCTCAGCCATGATATAACAATATAATCTCAGTGCTGATATTTCGTTAAAAAAAAAGTGCTCTTTTAAAGCGTTATGATTCACGCACACTGAAGAGGGTAGTTTTATTCCTCATTTGGTTGTTAGATGATTTCAGCCTGTAATTGGCTTAGGGTGAAGTAGGCCTGTTATATAATCCAAATTGCCCTTCAGGCTCCACACCAATCACTCCCACTCAAATGCACATCAGAACAACTGCTTCTGTGCTGCTTCTTATTTTCTAAACAGAAGCAAGTTATAAAGATGTTCAGTAATGAAGTCAAATTTTAAAAAACTTTTTTTTGTACTTTTGAGTAACAGCTTTAACCCTTTATACTGCAAGCTTATTCAGTTTTTACTATGAATTACTATAAATTTTTCAGTAACTAATGTGTACTTCAGTGTCTACCATGAAATATTCATTACCTACTGTGAATTATCCACAAAATACTATGAATTATTCAGCAAATACTATAAATAATTCAGTAACTATTAATTATCCAGGATCTACTATCAATTATTCAGTACCTACTATGAATTAATCATTAACTAACATACATTATTCAGTAACTACTATGTCATATTCAGGAACAACTAGGAATTATTCAGCAGCTACTACGAATTATCCAGTTGCTATAAATTGTCCAGTGTCTGCTACTAGAAATTATTCATTGACTATTAGAAAATGAATCAGTATCTATGAATTATCCAGTCTACAATTATTCAGTAACTACTATAAATTATTCAGTAACCACTACAAATTATTCAATAACTAATATCAATCATTTAGTAACTACCATAAGTTATTTAGTAAGTACTATAAATTGTTCAGTAACAACTATGAATTTTTCAGGAACTACTATGGATAACCCAGTGTCTACTATGAATTATTGAGTAACTACTATGAATTATTCACTCTCTACAATAAATGATTCAATAACTATTGATTATCCCGTATCTGCAATGATTTATCCAGTGTCTTATATGAATTATTGAGTAACTACTATGTAACAACTATGAATTATTCAGAATTACTCTGAAACTAATTGGCTTTGTTACCAGTTAGCCATAACATATTACTGTGCAGGGGTAGAAAATATTTGAGTGACTTGTACTCCCAACATTCTCTCTTTTTCCTTGCCACTCGAATTCCCACGTTGTGCAAGGACCAGGCTTTCCACAGGCAGAGACTCCCCACTGGAAAACGAAATTAGACGAAATAGAGATACGCATAAGGTTTACTGCAGTCTTGTTCCAGAAATTTCAGTTAAAACGACCATTGACGCTGCTGATTAAAATGCATTAAAACCAAATAAAAAAGATAAAAGTAAAGAACGACAATAACGCCGTATGTTCCTCACACAAACCTGAGAATATGAACTCCAAACGCGAATAAATGAATTAATGTGCACGTTTCGTAAACAGTGGAGTAGAGCTGTGGGTCGCTTCTGCGCCTGCGCGGAGAGAAAGCAGCTCCGCGGTTACGTCACCCGTCTCCATCGATGCGTGCCAGACAAAGAGTGTGGTGCGCGTGCGCGCCGCCGGACGAGCATCCCCCGAGCTCGCTCGGCTCACCTTGAGCTGCGGCAGGTGAGAGCAGCTCCGGCCTGGGCTCCGGGGGGTGGGTGGATGAGGTGGGGCAAGGGGCCACAGGGGGCAGGATGCAGTGGCGTGCGGGGTTCGCCTCCTCACGCGCTTTGGTGGTGGATCTGGGCCGGAACCGCAGTCTTCCGGTTCCGTTCGGGCTGCACGCTGACGAGCGCCACTCAGTATCCGGCTGCGTGGTGGCCTTTCCCCTGCAGGAGTACGGCGGGATCATGTCCGGCCTGGTGGCCGAGTCATGGTGGAGGAAAACCCTGTACCTGACCGGAGGAGCCTTGCTGGCCGCTGCTGCGTATCTGCTCTACGAACTGCTCTCAATCAGGTGCGGTACGGGGGGGTGGGATGGAGAGCTGGACTGCAGATGGTGGGTAATGCGTTTGGCAGCTGTGCTTTCGACCGCATTGTTTTGAAATGGGCTGTGTTGGGCAGTAATTATTTTGAGTGGGTTGCATTGGTTTGAAATGGCTTGTACTGGATAGTACTGGTTTGAATGGGTTGTATTTGCGTTGAGTAGCAGTGGATTGCTTTGAACTGGCATGGGTTGCATTGGGTTTCTTATTTTGATTTGGATTGAAATTGTTCCCTTGGTTTTATTGGGTTGAAATGGTTCGTGTTGGCATGTATTGGGTTGAAATGGTTGGTGTTGGGCTATAATGAGATCAAATGGTTTGTGATGGGTTATGTTGAGTTGGAATTGTTTGTGTTGGGTTGTATTGGGCAGTTGTACCTTCTGTTACATTGGTTTGAAATAGACTGCACTTGCAACCAGATCACTGGTTACACAGGACTGGAGAAGCTGATTTGGGTTGCTTTAGTTTGAATGGGTCGATTAAGGTTACCTTGCAGTTGGGCGGCATGTTTACCCACATCACTGTGTGCTTGTTGGGCTCGTGTCGAGGGGAATTGCTCATATATATATATATATATATATATATATATATATATATTTATATATATATATATATATGAGCCTCAGCATTCGATTAAGTCACGTTTTCCAGGTCACGTGCAGGCAGGGGCTGTAGGCTGGTCCCCTGAGAAACAGCGCTGTTATGGTAAACTAGAACCAAGCCCTCGTTTGTTTACATGTGTTCTTGTCCTTAGAACCGAACAAAAGTCCGTTTTCATTTACTTAACAACCCTTGTCGTGAATAAGAGAGAAAAACACAGCGTTGTAATATGAATCACGTGTCAGATTATACTGCGCTTCGTCACGGATGTTTGGCTGGATGAACGTGATTTTCTTCATCAGGGTTGGATGAACAACATACAACATCCACGCAGGCACTCACGCGACGTCCTTTATTGGCCCTTCACTGGCCTTTCACGTGAGATTGGTGTTATCTCGCGGACACGTCAGCTTCAGCCTCACAGAGGCCAGATCAGAATGATGAGGATTTTAACGGATTGTGAGCATATGAACCTTTTAGATATTTGTGTTCAGTTGCTGTTTTTCTATTATTATTATTATTATTATTATTATTATTATTATTAATGTCGAGCTGATCTAGCCTGCAGAATCTCGATGGAGCGTTGTGCTTTGCATGGATTTTAGCCTCGTGCAGACAAATACGTCAGGTGACGATTTCAGCACCACACGTTAGTGGACAGAGACTAACTGCATTAAAGTAAAATATAATATTAAAATATTTAAAATATATATATATTTTTAATTAAGCTTATAGTAATTTTCCTCTTGGCCATTGGTCATTTTGGATGAATGAACCTATATCTAAATCTATAGTTCTAACATAATCAGAAAATAACCATATTAAATGACGTGTTGCTGAAAATTAGAGCTAGGTGATGTACACTATCCTTCAAAAATTTGGAATCACTTTATCATAATTTTATATTAAACTAGTCAAGTTATATTAAAGGGCCCATATCCTTCATTTTTCTTTCTATTTTTTTATTTTATTTTTTTCCCTGATGTCAACTTTGTAAGGTTTTATGTATCAAAACTAGTTAATGTTTACATCACCATTTTCCAATTTCTCCAGTCTCCATTAGAGTTTTTTTTGTTATTATGTCTTTAAAAACTGATGTTTGTATATTAGGTCTGTTCTGATTGGCTACCCTGTATTATACCTATTCAGAAAGCAGTTTGGGCTGAAACACTCCTAAACTCCTGTACAGCTTAGGAAAATGTGTGAAAATGTGCTGGTTTTTGTGACAAAACACAGAATTCAAACAGGATATTTTTGTGTATAGTTTCTATGTGGACTGTATGGACTGATAAGTGAACAGTATGTTTTAAACTTTTAATATTTACACGCTACTTCAAACTCTTCTATTTTGGAAAAGCAAGGAAGTTTTTCATGATATGGGCCCTTTAATGATTGTTATTCAATATTAACTTGTACAATTATTATTAGATTAAGATGTTATAAAATAGACACTAAAATGTAAACTGTTCGTTAAGCTTTGCATTTTCTCTTCTCTCCGGCATGTTTCTTTCTAACTGGCATGTTTTACTGATGTCTTCCCAAATGAGTTAGCATATTTGAAATATTAGCACAGAAGTCTAAACTTCATGTTAAGCAATATCAGCACTCTGTCACCGTTCAGTCTGCCACTTTTTGTCTATTATTATTGCACTCAACTGAGAAACTGAGTATTTGTTTTGTCCATATACAGTGGATGACAAAAGGATTTAACATTAATGAATATGCCAGTGCTCATACCCCACCACATGTAGTCTCATTACTTTTTAGGCAAGGCTAGTCAAAAAAACAGAAAGTAACAACAAATTTGTGGGTTACAGAATTATTTGCCAGAGTTTATACAGTGACCTGCATTAGACTAGATTTCAAGTTAAGTCAAGTCAGGTCAAGTGGTCTTTATTGTCTTTCCTCAATGTAACTTGTATACATTGAAACGAAATATCGTTCTTCAGGTCGCATGGTGCAACATAAAACAGTAGTACATTACACAGGACTACACAGAGTGCAGATACATGACAGTGTGAAACAAGTGCAGAATATATAATAAATACACAAGACAATAAATACTAGACAGGACAAAAAAAAAATAGTGTTTACCATTAGGTATCGTATATGTATATACACGCATACATATATACACATGGCATCAAGCAGCATGTTAGTGATGAAGGAACTAGTGCAAACATTGTCACTGTAAACTGTACAGAAACATTGAGGTCTCAGCAGATTCAAATAGTTGAAGAATTTAAAGTGCAAAATTGCAACAAAACCGTATTTTATATGGGTGAATTGTATAAGTTGACACCTGTGAATCATCTGCAGCAACATCCAGAATTTCTTAATTGTCTAAAAACTGCAGAATATTTGCATCATATTAGAATCAATTTTTATATTTCTGCAACAAAACTGATTACATATTATTCAGAACAGTGATTCATCAACAGGTTCACAGGCATAATAAGCACTTCCCACACATTCAGGAGCAAATGTCAATGCTGTTGTGATTAAATATGGATGTTGTTCCCCTGCTTCACTCCACTATCTGTGCAAATCTAATCTAGCTCAGAAACACCATCAAAAAGACTGTTTCTTTACCTTGTTAATATCTAGAAACTCCATTCCTTTTCTTGCACTGAAAAAGTCTGGTATTGACTTGAATTCAAATGGGTGCATAATTTCCACATGAATAAAATATATTATTAACACAGTTATGACCAAAAGCAAGTAAACTGAAAGACAGAACTGTGTTGATTGATTCTTGATGTAGAAACTATGTCCAGACTTGAATGTACACAAGTGAATAATGTTTTGTTTGGAAAGGTCATTGAATTTAATATACAGTACTGTGCAAATGTCAGAGACCAGCCTTTTTTTTAATTATTTCTTTTTCAGGAGATTTCTGAAGAGATTGCTTCAGATCTGATAAAATCCACAGGTGTTTCTATCCGTCCTTCCACTGTGAGAAGACAACTGAACACTATATGGGCCTGAAAGGATGTGTAGCTATCAAGAAGCTGAGAAAAGGAAATAGACAAAAGAAAAAAAAAAATCATAAATCAAACAATGAAGCTACTGGTGTTCTCAGAACAATGTAACACCAGAGTCATGAGCTCAACATCATGGGACTGCTGGGATCATGATAAGCAGACAGTGTAACCAGCTTCTAAGACTGAACTTCAGAACTTTCTCCAATGTTGTGGATAAATATCCCTGCAGATTTTTTTTAACTGAAAACAAGTCTCTTAATTGAAACTGCAATAAAGGCAAAGGGTGAACGCAGTAAATACTGAAGAAAATGAAAAAAGGAGTTGTTGAGCCTCCTGTGTCATTTTCTGTCTTCAGAAAATTCATGTAGCTGAAAATGCACCTATTCCTGAGACAGGTGGTCAGTTGAGCACACTGCTCGTACAGTCTCCATAGAAAAGCAGTGCCAATAGAATGGGATGCTCTGAAGCAGCTATACCTGAGCCTAAGATCACCTTGTCCAGTGCCAAGCATTGACTAGAGGGTGTATAAAGCCCCTCAGTATTGATCTGTGGAACTCTGGAGTAATGGAGCCCCATCCAATACCTTTGGGATGAGCTGGAGTGGCATTTATGATCCAAAACTAATCATGCAATATCAGTATCTGACCTCACTAATGCTTTTTTGGCTGAATGCAATCAAATCCTCACAGCAATGTTGCAACATCTAGTTTTATAGCCAAAAAATATCATTAATGATGTCAGGTCACGTCAGGCTTGATTGTTATTTCAGCTATATACAAGTACACAGTGAAACGAAACAACCTTCCTCCAGGACCATGGTGCAACACAGGAACACAAGTGCGAGACAATACAATATACACAGTGCAGACAATACAGTAAAATAAATAAATATGAATGTTGCATAATTAGTTCCTTTCAGAAGAGTAGAGGTTGTAACTGCAGCAAAGCGTGAACAAATTTCCTGTTAATGGCATTGATTTCAGAAGAAACATTGGATGAGCAGGTGTCTACAAATTTTTGGACATCCTAACCCAGTGATTAATTGGCCATTTTTTTGGTTCCTTGCTTGTAGAATTTTATGTTTAGCCGGTATGGGTTGTTTTGTGAGTGTGGGCTGAATAAGAATAGGGATGTTGTTTTGCTGCAGAAATCTCAGGGTTTTGCCTCATAGCAGGTTGTGTGTCATTCTGCTATTCTAAAAATAGCCACTAGCGTGGTCTAACTCTGCTTTCCTCCTCCATATGCACCTCTTGCTTCTCCTCTGTTACAGCAGTGGGGCTTGTTATCTCCATAAGGCCTTGATGATATAATCATGAGCACATTGGGCCTAAACTTTCACAGCAATGCATCTGATTTACCCTGGATGGATGGTTTAGTTACATTAGTATTTTTTAGGGTTGCAGTGATAGGGTTGCTTCAATACTAGCATGTAAACGCAGTATTGGCATCAGCAATGGGGATACTGATACCTCCACGCATGCGTGCCACTGACATTTTCATGCGCACCAGTAGATGGCACTTAACAACACATTGGCAGTGTGGGTTTATGAGCAGCAGAAAAACTGCTCATGGCATGAATTTTGTCCATACTTTGCTCCATTATATAGCTAACCTAAGCAAGTCTGTTTGATATTTAGTGGCATGGCATGGTTTTGCTAACAGGGAGGGCAGTGATATTATTCATCTTTGTAACATAGTGGCCCTTTCTTATACTGGATTCATGCTGACTTTTCCTACTCACACTGTTTCGCTCAAGTTCCAGTCTTACATAGGATCCCTGCAGCATTTTTTTTTTACCTGTGTTCATCCACAACCTAGCTAATAAAATTACTGTCCCTCATATTGTAACCGAAATTGTTTCCATAACTGTTATATATGGTAGTTCGTCCATTCTAATGATACGCACTGAAGCTCATTGAGTGCTAATAGCTCTCCCCTCTGGAGAACCTTCATCTCCAAAATTAAGATGATGAGTCTTCCAAAAAGACATGCTAATATGTAGATCTTTAGTTGAAGGATCATAACAACCAGAATAATCAATAAAACATTCAGCAGTATTAACTTACTGGCTACCAGTACTGGTATTGTGAAATCACTATAGTAAGGATGCATCAGGTGTCGGTATTTCAAGCATGTTTCTTACAACAAGCAAAATTATCTGTCAATAAAGTGAGATAATTTGACTTACTAGAATCACTTAAAACAAGCATAAAATATCCATAAATAGGTTTATAATAATAATAATAATAATAATAATAATAATAACAATAATACATTAATCTCAAAATAAGAAATAGTAGATATATTGACTAGATTTTAGATAAATTCACTTGGCAAGATATATAATTTGTTTTTGTGATCAAATGTAGATATATATATATTGTATAATTTTTTGTAGCGCGGGGCGTTGGCCCAGCACCTATAAGGAACGAAACATCCCTGTTGAGATTACTTAACCACATGGTTTGAGGTTGAAATGTGAAATGATTTGTGATACTAAATGGTGGGTTATAAGCTTCCACTGCTTGTAAGTTACATTTTCCCAGTGCAGTGAAAACAGTGTAGATTTTTTGCCACACTATTCCTTTAAAGGTTTATTCACTGTCCTCACAGAGTGTGTGTGTGCTGTGTTTTGCAGGAAAGAGCAGCAGTTGGACTCTAAAGACGCCATCATCCTCCACCAGTTCTCCAGACCCAAAAACGGTGTCCCCAGCCTGTCTCCGTTTTGCCTGAAGATGGAAACTTACCTGCGCATGGTGGATTTGCCATACCAGGTACACTGCTCATGGTGATGCAAGATGATGCAAGAACATACACTGAAAAAGTTCTTAATGCACTTGATACATATATGTACTCAATTTCACACAAGATATATTACATATACACAGTTATTGTAAACTGAAAGACAAAATTTTGCTTATTACTAATAATATTTTTATTTGTGTGGAACACATGTGAATCAAGTAAATTTAGTGCATTACTGTTTTCAGTATACACTGCATGTCGAAAGTTATCTGGCTGGTGAACCCTTTGGGTTTTACTGTTGATTTCTTTGAGTTGCACTATGTAAGATTTTTTGCTAAAATTGAAAGAAGTAGCATTATTGAGTTTGCATGAATAATAAAAAAATAATTAAAAGTCAGAGACGCCGCCTGGATTTGGCAGTTTTTCTGACTTTCACATACGTCTTTATGCATCAAAGTTGCACACAAAGACTCAAAAAGAAGGTCTGGCTCGATGTTTAGGTCTCAAATTTAAAATCAACATTATACTTATCAAGATATGTTGACAATAGTAGGTAATTCACTTACGTCCTCGTAAGATACACACTTCACCATGTTTTGACAAAATTCTTTTTGAATACTCTTTCAGCATGCTCACAGTCATCAGATGTATCTGTTCAGGGAAGGTGTCTGAAGCACAGCCCACCTTACAATGTTCTCCCACGTGTTGCATGCAGTTAAACATTTCCAAATCCCAAATGCCCAAAACTTAACAGTGTAGCTTTAACATATTAAAGAATGAGCAGGTTTTTTTAAAGGACTCAAACCTTACAGCTGTTTAAACCACCTTTGAGCCAAAAGAGTTTCAGTATGCACTTTTTGTTTAAGCCAGACCTGCACTTCATACTTAAGAAGACACTTTAATGAACAAGGTGTCGAAGATAAATATACCAAAAGCATTAGCACATAGCTGTTTTAAGCAAACAAAAACTTTTTCTTTCTTAAATGAACAGTAACTACAAAAATCATTACATGGAAAATGTCAAAAGTAAGTAAGGTGTCACAAAATGTTTGAATTTATTTCACTGTAGAGTTTATAAAAGTCTAGAACCACTTTTGGTTCCCTAAAAAACCTTTTAATGGTTCTTTAAAAAATATCATTTTACAAATTAGATGTGTAACTGTGTGAATAACACACAAACAAAAAGTTGAAAGAGCTTCCACATAATGTACAGGTTCTAGGAAGAACCCTTAAATTGGTATAGAAGATTTACGTTATGTGAAGATTCTCTGAACCTTTAAAAGGTTCTTCACACTTGCACAACTTTTCAAAGTGGTTCTTCTGTGCCACCTTTTATTTATTTACTTTTATAAGTGAATTCACAACAGTCATAGTAAAATATTTCCTCTTCTACTTACAAACATCACAAAACATACAAAACATTACAATTTTTTTTGTTTTACAAACATTACAAAAAGATTTATAAAGGCTAACATCAATTTGTCTTTTTCCTCTTTCTTTCTTCTGCAGAATTACTTTGATGGCAGTCTCTCTCCTCAGGGGAAAATGCCATGGATTGAGTATAATCATGAGTGTGTGTCTGGGACGGAATTTATTATTGATTTTCTAGAGGAGAAGCTGGGTGTGAGCCTCAATAAAAGCCTGAGTGGGCCAGAGCAGGCTGTGGCCCGGGCCGTCACCAAAATGGTGGAAGAACACTTATACTGGTGAGTCACTCACTGAGCCTTATGCTGCTGCTTATCACTTATCAGGATGCGAACAAACTGAGTGAAATTTCTAAACCAATCCAATACCTTGTGAATGCAGAGCTCAAAGTAGTGGAGATGATGTATTTGTTAATATCGTTCACTCGACAGGCCTGTCATTAGTGCCATGGATAGCATGGCTGAAAAGTGGGTTGAAGGAAAGGTTTGGTACAAGACCAAATTTACACAGTTTTCCGCTTACCCTAGATGCCATTGATCAGCCAAGACCTATTTGGTGTCCAAGTTTTGCCTTTTTTGTTTAGAACTGGAGCGCCGAGGCTAATGTTGCTAACAAACATCAGAAGTTACTCCAATCTTTTCTGTAAATGCATCCCCAAATCTTCTCTCAACCCTCTCAAACCACATCCAGGTCTAATTAAGATAAAGCACAGACTTCTAGAAGTGGTTTAGAGCACAATACTTACTGTGAAATATATATAAAAAATAGCTAAAAAGCAAAATTTGGACACCAAACGTGTCTTAGCTGATCTACTGCATCTGGTGTACATAAAAAAATGTAAGTATATATTTGATTTTTCACTGAACCGTTCCTTTATTTGATGAATGACTTATTTAAATACACCAACAGCTCCTCTTTTTGGTCACAGCCATCATTCAAAGGTCTGCTTGTGCCACAAATAGTTTTAATGCCCAAACAGTTTTAATGTTTTAACTTTAATGGAGCAGTAAAACATGGGGCATTGAGTTAATCCCAAAAAAGATTAAATTCCTTGATTCCAGGAGTTTGGGAACCGAAAGTCAACTCCAGAGCTTTGGATTCGATTCCACACAGTGACATTCAAGTTTACTCGCACCGGCATGCACACGGACTGCAAAGTCTTCTGCTCTCATCGTCTGGACAGACAGTGAAACAGATACTGAAGACAGATACTGGAAAATACACCCTTCTGTAATACATGCATCAATATTTGAAAACAAAGTAAAATGTAATATTTGTAATGAACAATTGGCTTACAGTCAGACAGTTTTACCAGTACCAAAAGATCTACCCACCTGAAGGAATTGACAGAAGAGAAACAGATACAACTTAGCACACCAGTTAGTCACCTAAGTAAATTTAGCTAGTGCTAGCTCTCCAGATTTCAATGCTAAAATCAAATATAATTAATATTGTAACATCTATTTCTGCCAGATGTCCTTTTTTATGTTTTGTTTTTTCCAAACGAGATTATTGTGTGAATTCAACTTTGGAATCAACTCTATCGATTGCCATCACTTAGAATTGGAATCAGAGTCAACTCTAAAATTTTTGGAATCGACCAGCCCTAGGTAAAACAATAGACGTCCTATTGCCCCCTACACTTCCTGTAGAGTATAACAGTCTATCAGATTGACAGCATGGACAATTTGAGCAATTTTGGGAATTATAAAGCATTTTTAAAGTAAATGACACATAATATGGGTCATGACAAACATTTTTCCATAAAAATGCTATCAATGACTAATTGAGTTTGTCCACTAATCGTTGCAGCTCTATTTATGAACACAACCTTGGAATTCTGCTGCAACACACTGATTGGGTTAGAGGTCTACTAACCAGTTCAGACCTGATGATTTAGGTATGCAGTTGCATGAAGCTAATTGGTGGGGTTTAAGCTTCCATTCCTTCTTAGTCTCTTAATAAACAGCCTTTGGGTTGAGAGGAAAATTGTGTATATGTGACATTTTGCAAAAAATATTCCTATGATAAACTCGATGTAACACTGCATAAAACATAGAGGTAGGAAAAAGTATAGAGAAACCTTAATGGAGTTAAAGTAGGGGCACTATTTCAGCATCTTGCTCATTTAAAAGTGGAAGTATGGAGCCAAATACTTGGGTGAAAGTCAATAAGTATTGACATTTAAACATACTCAGGTATATAAAAGTTAAAGTTAAATGGTAAAATTAAGTACAATTAAGAGTCATTTTTTAATTTGTGCATAGTGACTAATTCAGTGTACTTGTCCTTACGCAAATAAGAACTGATATAGTTGTGGGCAGTTTCATTTTACATTGATATGAATTTGAAGTGATTTTGATTATTAAAATAATTAAAAAAAAGAAAAAATTCTCTTAGTCTTTAATATTTCTAACAAACACTTGAAGGTCTAAATGAAAATGTCAGGAGTACAGTGTGACACACAATACTGCACGAGCAATACCAATTGTGCTTGTCTGAATAGACCGTTTTCCCTTTAGCCTAATTCATGCCATCTCTTTCTCTTTGTGTGCATGTTTTTCTTTGTCTATCTGTCTTTCTCTGTCTCCTCCACCAGACATCTCTTGGGTCAAACCCACTTACAGCTATTGATTTAATTATTTATAGTCAGGCAGGGCTGTGGGGCGGTAGGGCTGGTTGCTCTGTATTTGTATGTGTATGTGTGAGTGTGTGTGTGTGTGTGTGTGTGGGTGTGTGTTTGGAGTGCGCAGGCCTGTGCAGGACCATAAATATGTCTAATGGATGTCAGTGTAAGGACATGGGCAGGAAATCTGGATTATCGTACTGTTTGCCCTTTGAAACTAGAAATGCACAATGATGCTGGAATCATATTGATATCAGCAGATATTTGCTTAAAAATAATTATCTGCATTGGACACATGAATAGATATGACCCTTATTTCAAAGCAATATTTGATTATGTATTTATTGTATTCCAGGAGAGCAAACTGTTTAGGTGATGCTTTTCTTTCTCCATAATGCTAATCCAGGTGGATTTAGTCCCAATATGTACATTTTAAGTGTTTATGTATCAGCTGTGGCAGATATGAAAAATATTTAATATCGACATCTGCCTACATTTCTCATGTCTGAGTATCCCTTTTTAAAATACATCAACTGATATGATATGGTGGTGGCATGTTAGTATGTTTGGGTCTGGTACAAGTGGACAGACACAACAGTGCTGATGAAGTTTTAAACACTGTGTCCACTTACTTAGTTTGTATTAGTCATTTTCTAATCTAGGGGTGTACAACTCCAGTGCTGTAGGGTTGGTGTCCAGCACAGTTTGGTGATTTACCTGCACCCCTGCTCTTGTCCTTCATCAGTGGTCACTCCCTGGCTGAATATTTTTGGTTGGTGTACTGTCCTCGGTCCAGTAGTGACACTGAAGTGTTTTCTTGCAGCACTGCTGAATGGAGATAAAAGTTGCTGTTAGTCTGAGGTAGATTCTTTTGTCTTAAAGGGCAACAACATGATGTCCCTCCTGAAAAAAGACCATTAGAACCATTAAGATTATACTTGATTTTACTTTAAAATAGCAATTGGCTTAATGGTTACTAATAGACAGCACTAGTTTCTTGTATAACACCATCAGATCCTTTTCGAAAACTACATCTATACATAGAATACATCTATAATCAATCACAGATAAGAGTAATGTCTTTTTGCCAGATTATCTCTGAAAAAGGGGTAGTGTTAGATTTATCGCTTTAAATGAGTTTTATTACACAGTTCTATAACCTAAGAACAGCTCAACCAGTTTGCATTGAAGACCGTGTAGTTTGTGAATAATAAGCTGGGATTTTAAGGGATTAAGTCACATGCCACAACACAAGCATAAACTACACTGTTAGAAATAAAGATGTTAATGTTCCCTTAAGGGTACAACAGTGGTTTTAAGGTTCAATTGTGTAGCTTAAATAAGTTTTCCTAGGTGAATAGTACATATTTGTACCTTTTCATAACCTAATCCTGTTTTAAAACAGAACAATAACATAAAAAGCCTGGAGACGAGACGGGGTGTATGAAGTCAATACAATTTAGAAAATATAATTTCATTGAATTATGGTACAATTATGTTCCCTGACTAAAGGTACTGAGATGTACCCTTGAGGGTACCACACCAGTGACAAGAGGGGTACTGTCATAATTTCATACCTTTATTCCCGAGAGTGTGCAGACACAGCTTAAAATCATTTTAGCTAATTTTGGATAACTTGCTTAGGTGAACTAGGTGACATTTTCGTTTTTCTGGTTAAATATTGTAGCTAGCTAGCTAGTTATAACTTCTGTCATGCTGTCGTTAACCAAGCTAGCGTTAGTGCTAGCCTAACTAATTACAGTTGTTCTTTCATGGTTGACCTGTCCATGACAATGTACGCCATTATCCCACAACTAAACCTGTCATAATTCCTACATCATTGCCTGATTGCAATTATTTGAGCTGATTGCAGTTATTTAAGCTAATTGCAATCATTTTCTGCAGTTGTGTAGAAATTGATTTTAGAGTTATGAGATGAGTCATGACAGATTGTGAACAGTGTTAATTGGATGTGTCTTCATCTGTTGAGTTGAGGCAAATGCATTTATTGAGGCACGTCATGAGTCTTAAAAAAACAATAAAAGTTCTAACTTCTTACTTGGTGCTGTAACACCTTTAGAGGGCAGCAGTAAGTGTTGTTTTATTTGAGCTTGAGCTGTTACTGACGTCAGTGAGATACTAAATATTGAAACTTGTACTTTGTATTTTGATGACTGCATACAATTAATAAAACACGCAATTAAATTCTTAATCACAATTATTTATTTAGCAATTAACTAAAGTCATCTAAAATTTTTAAAAGGATTGTGAACAATCCAGCCACAACCCTGAAAGAGAATGTGGAAGGGAGGCGTGGATAGTTGGCATTACTCTTTGAGATGCTTGGTGGCTGTGGCTAACAATGAAAACAATGAAAACTGGTTAGCCTCTAAGCATAATTTTTTCAGTCTTTATTAGCAGCGTTTTGGGTATCTTTTTTGTAATTTTTCTCGTGAGGTGATTTGACACTTTTTTCCAAACTTTTGTAAAAAGCACAAATTGAAACTCTGTTGCCTCAAAAGTGGTTTAAAGGTTTGCATGCCAGTGAGTAATGACATCAAAACAAGGGGGAAAAACCTAAAGTATTTGGGATAGACCAGTGTACTATCTTGCCCTTATTTGTTAATGGATCCTGGTTATTGGCTGTACATGTTATATGTGTCTGTATATTGTGTTTTATCAGGACGATAGTGTACTGTCAGTGGGTGGAGAATGTGGAGCAGACTCAGAATCTCCTAGACGTTCCTGGCCCACTGAGTGAGGTTCTGAAGTGGACGCTGTGCCAGCTGAATGGAGGCCTGGTGAAGAGGGAGATGTTCTGCCAGGGAATCGGCCGATTCACCAGAGATGAGCTTTACACACTGATGGAGCGAGACATGCGTACACTCGCCACGCTGCTGGGTGAGGACATGACTGTTTTGCTGGGGATGAATTAAAATTTAGATGCGGTGGAACTCTTGGCAGAACGCAGCTGACTGCACCTTGAAGAAGAAATCTGGGTAAAGTAGTGTTAAGTGGTGGCTGAATGGCCTGAAATAATTTTGCTAGTTGGTTTGTAGCTACTTTAGCTAGCAAGACTGCAGAGTTTGATTTTGTTATCTAGCTAATCACTAAGCCACAAGTTAGACCACACCATGCACATATAGTGAGAGTAAACAAGTATTCAAAAACTTTTGTTTTTGTTATTTAATATACTTCTAGAGTATATTCATCCACTTCAAATGTATACATATAATGTCTTTTGACTTTATAATTATAAATTTGAACAAAAAAGCATAAACAAATATATGTTTAAATCACTAAACTGTTTGGGAAAACACTATTCAGACACCACAAATGAATAATGAATTCTTAAAGCTTTAAGAAGTCTATCGTAAGAAGCCATTAGCTTTTTGCAGTATTGAAGTTACATTTTTGCCCATTCCTCTTGACAAACAATTTTAATTCCCCAAGGTTATGGGGGTCACTGTTATGGACCAATTTCAAAATCCTCAATAAGTGTCAAACTAGAGACCTTCCAGGCCAAAGTGCTAGGGAGATTAGCGTTCACCCTCATCTAACACCCTGAATTCAGTTCATGAAGGCCTTGCGAAACAGCTGAACAGCTGAATCATGTGTGTATTTGTATGCTTGTTAGGAGATAAGAAGTACATTATGGGCTCTAAAGTGACCAGTGTGGACGCCACAGTGTTTGGACACCTCGCACAGGCCATGTGGACGCTGCCTGGCTCCAAACCAGAGCAGCTAATTAAAGGTAACTACACACACCAACCCAGCCATGCATATGGAGTATAGTATAGACAACCTGTCAGCAGTTTTTGATATTATGTTGTAAGCTTGGACGATAATGTAAATTTAGACAAACGATTTTATCGTCTGCAGAATTATTGCGATAAATGGTATTGTGACCCAAATTCAGTTACGAAGCACCTCATATGAGCATGAGAGCTTTATCATATAGCTTGCGTTTTCCCTGATGGTGATACAGTTACTACATAATTACCACCTGGGCTAACTATGGCTATATTCTGCACTAACAGCATGTAATACTGTTGACATCTAGAGGTTTTCCAAACTCATTTCTTTGGAAACCAAAATATTGCCAAACTGGCACATTGGCACCTTTCTTCTAAATGCAGAGGAATCTGATCCGAGATCGGCCGTGCTTTGTGCATGACAGCCTTGGTGTTGCATCAAATGGCTGCCAGTTGTGGTGACTTTTTGTCCATTTTTATAGCTCCAAGTTAACAATAGTGTGCTCTAAACCACATTGGCATGTCTGTGCAACCATAATAAAGACCTGGATGCGGGTTGAGAGAAGTTTTGGTGATGTATTTTTACAGAAACGATTTGCGCTATTTGGGTGACTATTGAGTTCTAGTGTTTGTTAGCAACATTAACCTCAGCTCCAGTTCTAAACTAAAGAAGCAAAACTTGGACTCCAAACATATCATGGCTGAACGACTACATATGGGCAATTAGATTTTTTGCTAAACTGTTACCTTAAGAGAAGTAAACTTCAGACAACCAAACTTGTGATGGCTCAAACTGCTTTTGAATTTTGTCAAGATTCTCATTGTTACTATGTTGTGTTACTTGTGCTCAGGTGAGCTGATTAACCTTGCCATGTACTGCGAGCGGATCCGGAGGAAATTCTGGCCAGAGTGGTTCGTGGATGTGGATGACTTTTGCTTGGACGGAGAGAGTGACAGCAGCTGTGGAACGCCCACACACCTGATGGACTTTAGCTTGTTCTCACGTACTGACACATTGGAGGACAGCGCCAGCAGCTCACCCTCTCATACAAACACACACTCGCCGGACACCGACCGTTCAGGACGCTCGCTCTCCGACTCGGACATCGAGGTGGACGTCTTGGACGACAAACAGCAGGTTAAGGGGTAGATCATATCTGATAAACTTTGACCTTTGATCTGTGCAGACATCTGAAAACATCTGTTTTGCAGCAGCATCTGGACTGCAGCACTACATTATTGGACATGATGACCTCAGAGTGGACTTCTGCTTAGGAGCCAGACTTACTGGGCATCGGTTTTAAACTTGTGTGACTGTGTGCGTGAGGGTTTTTATGAAAGCTACAGGGTTGTTTCAGACATTAGTACACTGTGTGATCAAAAGTATTCAGATCCTGATTGGTTGATTAAGCTGCAAACTAATCATTGACACCAGTGATATGGCAAAAATGATACTTGAAGTTGTTTTCAGAATATATGATATGCATCATGATTAGGGCCTTCAAACGAATAAAAGATTAATCACGATTAATCACATCTTATTTGCTCAAATTTCACCTTAAAGAAATATTTTTTCCATTTAAAAAGCAAAGTTTATTATATATTATGTATATAATAATAATACTACTAATAATAATAAAAATGATATCATATGTGAAATAAGCCTGATCAGAGTTATTTATTACTCATCGACCTTCCGGTTACAGGGCTGGGATCCTAACCTGTTAATTTATAATAACTTTCCTTTTAATTTATCTATAGGTCTCCCGTGAGCGGCGCCAAGCCAACTTTGACAGCCCTAATCATGATATTTATTTTTTCTGAGCTTTGATTAGTTGGATTGGATAAAATGCACCAGAAGTGCCAAATTTTAAAAACACTAACAAAAATGATAATATTATAATTGCTGGTTACAGCCTTACATACAAAGGATTGGCTACAGTTTGTTCGCTATTTTAGGATGGACTGTTTTTTGAACAAGGCACAGTGCAGAATGTAGATAGAAAACGGTTTATGGGCTTTTTAATGCAGTTAATTTAAAAAGAAAAGTTTGGGTGTGCAGGTGTCTGGATACTTTTGGACATACAGTGTGGATTCTGTGTTATCCTGACTTTATTATTCATGAGATATGTATTGGTTCTTGTTCTCAGTACAAGGGTCCAGCAACATGTCTGAATTCTAGCCCAGGAAACCAATTCATTTATTTTTTAACCAGTGTGGAGCGTCTATGTTGTGACCTCATATCGAGCAAAGCTCTTCTGTCAGTTCATTTCAGTCAAACTATAATCATGACCACATAGCAATGACAGATTTAAACAGGAGGTGAATTCAGTGAAGGGATGTATCTATCAATAACTCTATCATCCTGTTAAAAACATACAATGCTGTGTTTACTTCATAACACACAGATGGGTGACATATTAAAGGAAAAACTGTTAAAATGTCACCACGAGCCACCAGGGTAGCTTCAGTGCATCTTGGCATAGATACCAGTCCCTGGAATTGTACTGGAGGGAAATAGTAGTGGGTGGTATGGCCAAAAATATAGTATTGTATAATACATTTTGACAGTTTAATATGGTATATCTTTTTTAACCATTTTAGATGCTAAAGTAAACCTAACAGAGCTCAATAATATATTTAAAAAAAACATATGTCAATATTGCTTTCTAACACTAGCCTTGCACACACAGCAAAAACAGTGCTTGTCTCACGTCTGAATTCCTACAATGCTGATGCTGACTTTTTGTTTGTCAGCTTTTTCATTGAATTTTCTGTTCCACCTTAAATGGAGCAGCATTAACATCCTGATACCTTTACAGGCACCTGAATGTAACTACTGCGTCATTTAATGTGGAAAAGCAATTTTGAATAAGAAGCCAACTTCAGCTTCATTGAATTTCTTTAGTCATTTGTCTCATATGTGCATCCCATATACTTAAGCCTCTGACTTTAAGATATCGCTGGAATTTGGGAAATATTACAGTCAGGCAGCTTCTCATGCAGTGTGAGAGGAAGCGTGGCAAGTGGTCATTTGAACTGTGAGCGAAACCTCGCCGGCTCAGCCACTCAGCTAAAGAGCTAACATTAGCATGCTTTGCACTGTATGTACGTCCTGTTGTCTTCACTTATTTGTGGCATATAATGGTTATGACAATACGCAAACCTGAGGAACAATTTAAAGTGGTATACCACCCACTATTAGATGTAACACCATTCTTCCAAAACGATATACTGGTGTTTTGATGGGTGCTGTCTACGACATTCCCCCAAAATATCCCATAGGTGTTCAACTGGTATGTGATCTGATGACTGAAAACACCATAGCATAGGATTTACACCCTTTGGTTTACAGTGACTCTTCTTCTATGGAGGAAATGGACCCAAACCATGCCCCACCACAGCATAACAGAGCCACCAGACAACCTCACTGTTAGGGGTCAAGCATTCAGACCTGTATCATTCTCTTGGTGTACATATGCACTCGCACATGTGTGGAGAAATTGGTGACTCATCTGACCATATCACTTTTTTCCACATCTCTGTAGACCAGTGCCTGTGGTTTTTACACCACTCAACTCTCAAATGTGCATTTGTCTTTGTAATGAGGGGGCTATGCCTTGCAACCCTACCATAATAATCCCTCTCATTGTGGTTGTGGATTGGCATTCTCAGTCTCCTGAGGCACAGTCTTCCATTTTTCTTTCCATATCATACTAATGCACAAGCATCACGCTCACCTATTGTGTGCTTTCAGCTACAGTTTTCAACCATATTTACTGATAGCCTTCCCATAGATCTAAATTCAGAGGTCATTTTAGTCACTGTTAGTATTGAAACATGGTCGGTTGAGAAGGTGTTGTGACTGAAGCTCCTGCCATCCATCCCCCTGTAAAAAACCCTCTTCCAAAGCCACTTAGATCTTGTCCTCTTCACATCTTGATCCAAATTTTATAGACACAATGGAGCGTTGTCATTCAGCCTTTGTTTTTCTAATTTGTCACCCATCGGTGTACACACACACACACTATATATATATATATATATATATATATATATATATATATATATATATATATAGTGTATGCAATACTTACTCTTTGCCACCAGAGGGCACTGTGATCATTCACAAGATTTCAGCTGGGCTTTGTGCAGAATACATACAGATGTATGCAAAAGTTTGGACACCCTGGACAAATTACTTTTTTCTAAATGACAATAAGTGCACATTGTCTACAGAGAACATACTTCTGCACATTTTAATGTACAATTACTGTTTATTTGCAAAATATAACATTTATACATACATAAAAATACACAAGTGTGCAAAAGTTTGGGCGCAATTGATAATTGGTGTTTCTCCAATATGTTAAAATTTATAGAAATGTTTTATTTAAGTTTGTCCACTGTAGAGCATGTTTTAACTTATTTTCACTTAGAAAATCAACAAAGCATGGAATTTGACAGAGGGTGTTAAAACCTTTGCATACGCCTCCACGACATCAATCCATATTTCTCTCTGCAGCATCAGTGCTGCTTTCAGCCTTAACCTTAGCCCTTTAGCTAACACTGCTGTGTGTTAGCAGCGCTCTCTGTGTAGGGTTTAACACCTCATGCATGTATGTTGTGTCTGTGTGGTGTGTACTGATATGAGTTTGCCTTAGCTGGAAAAGAGGTGGTTTGAGCAGCTTTATAATCATTTTTACCTCTTTCGGTGGATTATACTTACTTGAAATCAAAGCCAGTACAATTGGGTTTATTTCTATATTTATGTATTGATTTATTTATGTATGTATGTATGTATGTATTTATTTATTTATTTATATATGTATTATTTGTGTACAGTATGTGATTATTCAAATTATTTTGGTGGTTTACCAATTATAGAGGAATTAATTTGCACATTTTGTCGATGAAATGATCAAATGGTGGATCTGACATTGAAAGGATGAATAAGAACAGCAAGGTGTCTAAACAGTGGAGGATCAATATAGGTTTAATGGAGTTTATAATTAACTGTTACGAACCACATTTTATTCTGTTCATAACAAACAAATGAGGGAGATGAGAAGTGGAATTTGTTTACTTTTATTTTTGCATGCCAAATGCCAAACTGTTTTGCAAACCATACTCGTAGGCGACATGGAGTGACCCAACTTCAACAAATAAAGCATACAAAAAAGTCAAACTACGTAGGCCTGGGCGATGTAATGTAACATCGGTGATGGCTGACAATTAAGCCAGTGATGATGCTTCAAAGACGAAAATCACTGTTTTAGGAGAAAAAAAAACTGACAGAGACCTGCAGAGGACTAATTTAAATAATCAGCTTCTTAAATAATATGAAATAATATGTACATGTAATGTGTTAAGGCTAATTAAAACACTGAGTATGATTTTTAGGAGGATTTTTTTTTGTCATAGACCTCTGAAGTCATTCTGTAGTCTTCGTTTTCTAAATCACCGCCGTCACGCAACATACATGCTACAATCAAGCTAACGCTCCTGCACGCTGAAATGATGTCGCAGGAAAGTAAGTCTCCTGTTTGTATTACATAACACCAGCTACTCAAACTAGTTCCAATAGTAATTACCACATTTGACAAAGCTTGCAATTTTGCTTTTGTGGTATTTTGGTGAGGTTGCTAATCTTATGACAACAATTAACGGTGCAGCAATATTAGCCTGCATGTAACAATACTTGTATTTCAGCTCCTTAACAATTTGGTTATTCAGGGGACTGCAGGAGATAATGCAGACTACAACATGACTTCTAAGGTGTATGGAACCTTCACACCAAGTCTGATAAGCTTATTAAATACGGAAAACGAGGATGGAAAGGAAGAGGAAATTAATTATTCCTCAATTCTGTTTGACCTGTATTAAATTAAGCAGTACAAAAACACTAGTTTCATATATGATGCCTCCAACCCATTCTAAAAAAAGTTGGAACAGGAGCATACAAATTGAAGACATCCATTGATCCAGTTTTGAATGTGGAATTTTAACTCTTCAGTTATATAGTTCTTCAGCTGTGCATCTACGTAGGGCCATTGTTGTTTAATTTTGCAATAATGATGTGCAAGTTACCTATGCCATGGCTGTTAATACCCCCATACCATGCCAGACCCGTTTTGAACTTTACAATGGTAACAATCTGGATTGGCCCAGAGAACACGATGTGCATTATTTCCATAAAGAATGAGTCATCAGACCACAGTACATGTTTACACTGTGCATCAGTGCATTTCAGATAAGCTGGAGCCCAGATAGGTCGGCAGCATTTCTTGTCATTGTTGATATATGACTTCCACTGTGCATAGAACAGTCTTAGCTTGTGGATGAAGTGACAATTATTTTTGCAAAGTATTCCCAAGCCCATGCAGTGATATCCATCACAAAGGCATGCTGGTTTTTAATGCAGTGCCATCTGAGGAGTCGAATATCATAGGCATTAAGTTGTTTTTTTGGCGTTGCTTTTTAAGCACAGATTTTTCTGGATCCCCTGAATCTTTTGAAGTTATGATGCAAAGTAGAGGGTGAAACACCTAAAATCCTTGCAAACACTGGTTAAGGAACATTATCCTTAAACAGCTAATGCATTTTTTGGCAAGTGGAGAAACTCAAACTATCCTTGCTCATAAAGGCCTAGGCCTTTCCCGAATGTTCCTTTTATACTCAAGCATTATACCATTACATTACCTCTTTTAAAGATTTATGTTTTCTGAACATTTAACAATGTTCCTAGTCTTAAATTATTCCTTTCCCAACTTTTTGGAATCTGTTGCAGGCATCAGTTTCAAAATAAGTGTACATTTACAATGAAGTTGATAAGGTAAAACATTAAATATATTGTAATTGTATTTGTTTAAATACAGGTAAAAGTGAATTTTACAAATCACTGCTTTCTGTTTTATTTGCATTTTATGGACTCTCCGAACTTTTTTGGAATTGGGTTTGTACAAAAAGACCTGTTATGGACACTCTAGGATAAACATAAATGCAGAAAATTGAGCCCTAAATCTGGTTTTAATAAAACAATTCATGAAATTCAGGGGTTAAAGCATTAAAATTCAGGGGTTAATATCTAAAACCTGACATTTTCTCTTCTACAAAAATCAGATTTGGTGTGAATAGGCCTTTAGAAATACAGTACAGTAAATTTCCCACTGTCTCTTCTCAGGGTTTCCCAGAGGCGACATACCATCTGAGGAAAATTCACAGCATTTTTAGTACATCTTAAATGTCCTGATGGTTCAGATGAGTTCCTAATGGGAAGGAAAATATCATTATGATTATTTTTAGATTAGATTAGATTAGCACCCAGGCCTGCACTAGAGCCCTGACAGCATTATCCCAAAAAGCGACTGGGTTAGAATGCCTGCAAGAAATAAAAACATAGAAAGAAAAAGCTTAGGGCCATCTGTGCCGGTGTGCCCCATTTCTGGTGGAGACTTGTTACTACGCCTCACTAATTCACTTATCCATCTCCCACTGGAATGAACCAGACAGCTCACAAAAAATATTAAAACTAAAGTTCAGTTTCTAATTCTGAAATGTAATGGAGCTACATTTTTTGAATAACGGCACATAAAGTGTAAGTCTCAGTAGTGTTTTGTACACTTGAGACATGAACTTATCGATTTAACACATGCACACACACATACACACTTACCACATTTTTGATTCCTTTCAACCGATTCCAAACAAGATGCAGTCTCAAAATGTGCAAATAGGGAGAGACAGAATTTGTGTGCGTGGAGAAGCTGATTTATTCTTATGTTGTGTCCCAATTGTACATTGAACACTAATTCTGTTTTGAGTATATAGTATGTAAGTTCCAAAAGTGTTACTGAGTGTACTCAATAAAACCAACAAAGAAGTTAATGAAAACCCAAAACAAATTAATAAATCAGTGATAAAATTTTTATTTTGTTTAAACTCCAAAGTTCCAAAGTAGCATGCAAGGCTGCAGGTTGATATATAACATACACTGGCATAGTAATTAGTCCTGATTTTAGCCGACTATTAATTGCCATATAAATAACTGTTACTATTTGTCTTTTTTTGTTCATTTTATGCAACTATTAAAGTACAAGCATGAAGTGGCCATATTAACTTATTAGTCTCCTAGCTGTTAATATATCCCAACTGACATCAGAAAGAGCTAAAGCTCTAACAAACAGGCATCACCGCTGCCCTCTAAAGGTGGTATAGCACCAGTCAGAAGTTAGAACTTTTGTTATTTTCAGAAGACTCTTGATGTGCCTCATTTGACGTTTTCTGCTTTAGTTTATGTGCATGTATTTGCCTTAATGCATGTAATGAAAACCCAACCAATTCACTGTTTTCATGATGTAAACATATGATTTTGAAAGCTTACAACAGTGGAAAATAAGTGCAGTCAGCTTAAATAATTTTGACAGGCCTAATAGTAATATCACTTCTTCCAGTTTGCTTATGGGTATATATATGATTAATGTTTATTCAATTGGGACACGTTGTGTTTAGCTGGACTTTGTGTTCTGCTGTGGTCAGCCACATTATTGAAGCCATATTAGACTGGAATATGGATAGATGACTATGATGTGTGTGAAGATCATGATGTGTGTGTGATTTCCTGTATGTAAGAAACTCTTCATGGACTGAATCTGATATTGTGTACTTACAGTCATTTTCTCTGAGTGTGCAATAGTAATTCTGAAAAAGAGTGACTAGCAATTAAAAAAACGTGACAGTTTTAGTGTGTGTGTGTGTGTGTGTGTGTTCGATGTAATACTTTCTCTGAAACAAGAATGGTGTTTTACATTTTGAGAACTGGTGAACTACTTTTTTCCTGCTAGATGGCACCATTAATGCAGCCTTCTGCTAAACACTTTATTGTTATTGGCCTTCAGGTCCTGGAGGGCCGGCATCCAGCACCCCTGCACTACACTCTTAAAAAAATAGTTCTTCAATGGTTCTTTAGTAAAGGCAATGCTTTTATATAGAACAATGAACATTTAAAGAT